ATATAATATCGATTTTTGTTCATTTTTTTTAAATTATTAACAATTAAGTATTCATTTGCAGATTTCATGCTTCTTCATAATTTTGCAAAATATGTCTTCTTTGTTATATGATTATATAGAAATCTGTAATACATGTATATGAATAACATTCGATATTATAAATTTCATACTTTTTATAAGTTTATAAACAATTAAAATTTTTACTTTAGTTTAAAATTATGTTAACTATATTTGTTACCAGATAAGTAAATTGAATCAGAGTATTTCGAGTATATTACTTTCGAATAGATACTTAAGCATTACGTAATTAGTAATTCTGTCACTATGTCATTAAGATACGACTTTTGTAAATTAACAAACAATTTTCTACTGATAAAATGTATTCGTTATTTTTTATAACTAAAATCTTGTAGTCTTCTTAGATGTTTTTTTTACCTAAGACACAAATATAACACTTTACATAGAATTTTTTAAAAATTAGAGTAAAAAAAATCATATTTTGTCTGAAATTACGTAAGTTAAAACTTCCGTAATTTTTTTTTATAATTTTTTCAATTATTGATATCTACATATTAATGTTTAAAATATTATGTAATATTTTTAACATGTTTTAAATTAAAAAAATATTTTAAACTAATTTAATATTTGAATTAATAATAGCCTCTATTTATTATTTATTTACTCATTATTTATTATTATGTGTACTACTGCCGATAATTTGTTATAAAAATATTCCAACAAATATATGATGACGAATAACGATGTAAATATTTATATTTAAAGTACTCTTTCAGGTATACCGTAGATCCTCCAAAAAACTGGAAGATTCGCCCATTAAAGGTAAAATTTCGCTCGAGGATGAAGAAAAAATGAGGTGCCTTCTTACTTACGAAAATGCTCCTGAGTATCTTCAACACAATCCCTATATTCTTCACGGATATCGAGGGTATCTAACAACAAAGCTATGTATTGAAAGGTTGGTACATAACTGTAGCTAACATTGATCAGATTTCCTGTTATACTTCATATGACGTTTCGAAAAGTACAAAAGATACAAAATATATTTTAAAATTAATATGTATTAAAGGTATCTAATGTATATGTATAAAAATTTTAGAGATAAAAATGTAATAATATAAGAATATGTATAATAAATCAATTTATTATACATTAGTATAAATAATTAGGAAATTATTTATTAAGTTAAGTAATTTAATGATTAAATAACTAAAACGATTTCTAAATTTTTGATTATGATATAATTTATAATAGTTATCTGTAGTAATTAATATTCATCAATTTATATGTTCATATTCACAAAAGTAATCTAAGGAAGAAATACTTATTTCAGTATATTCTGGTGGACAAATGAAACAGTCAACATATGGAGTCATATATTTGGATGGATGTTATTCTTTGGTCTGACCCTCTATGACCTGTGTTTGTTAAATATTCATGCACCTTTTGGTGACAAAATGATAGTAGCACTTTTATTGATATGTTTCCAGGTAATATTTAGAAGTATTTTTTTCAATTTGTAAATTGTCAGTGATAAATTAAAAAAAGAAAGAAAATCATTTTTTCAGGCTTGTATGATATTGTCTTCCGTATATCACACGTTTTCCTGTAGAAGTGAAAAAGATTACTGGTGCTTTTTATCGTTCGACCTATTTGGCATTGCTTTAAGTCTTTTGTCGATATATATGTCTGGAGTTTACTATGCATTTTGGTGCCACAAGGTAAAAAGTTAAGATAATATATGCACTGAATTATGCATTATTGAAATTAAAATGAAAAATTTCAAAAAATTATTTAATATTCATAGAAATTATAAACATTCACTATTTTGTGCAGGAATTGCAAAGGTTTTATTTAATTACCGTGTTGGCAATTTTCATATTTGCGATGATTTTGCAAATACCGAAACTGAATATCAACGGAAATGTTAAGCTAGTCGTCTTTGTTGCTTGGGCAGCTTATGGAGTGTTGCCAACGCTGCATTGGAGTATCGCTATGGGTGGCATGGATAACCCGATCGTTAGAATGTTACTTCCAAGGGTACTAGGAATGTATGTCATTAGTGGTGCCGCATTTGCTATTTATTTAAGTAAAATACCGGAACGTTTTTGCCCAGGTAATTATAATTTTTAGCAACATTGATATTTTTAACACGTTTCGGGTATCGATTAAAATAATAATTTAAAATAGCAAACATTAAATTGAATAAACAGGATATAATGTAATGTTTCCATTCTACCTACCGTTTATATTTCGTTTTTCTTTATTCAAATAGAATATAGAAAAAACAAGTTTTAAATATAAAATGATATAAAATTTACCGTAAATTTGCATATTCCTAAAGCATTGCTTGAACGAAGTATTAATACAGTTCTCTTTCTTTTAAAGGGTGGGTAGATTATATTGGTTCCTCTCATCAATGGTGGCACGCATTGGTAGTATTGGCTTTGTATTATTGGCACAATACTGGAATGCTTTACGTGGAATACAGAATGAACCATGGCTGTCCGAGCAACATAAAATTATTATGACACACGGAGATTGACGACCATTCAGGTATGAAACATTTGCAATTTCGTATAAAAAAATATAACTAATTAAAAGAAATATTTGAGTCGTATTATATAATATTATATGCTTTCTATTTTTTAAAAACAAGTAGATTTGCAGTTTAAGTTCGCCAATTGCTTTGCTTTTATTTTATTTAACTAAATTCTCATTGTGATATATGAAATACACGCATAAATATTTTAGGCCGTGGTTTTATCATGGAATGTGCTTGCGCTATGGAATTCAATGTTTGGTCGTCAGAATATTACAACCAACTACCGTTTTACGCTACTGAAAAGAAGATAACTTGCAGGATGGAGAATCCATTACAAGCGTATATTCGTCGACAAACGTTCTAATACCACATGTGCAAAATTCGTAAAATATATTTCAGACAATGTTAGTATGAATCCTCTAACCGTGCCTGACACATTTTGATGTTAGTAATTTTATTTATTTTGTATTTATGATTTTAAATAGACATATTGCATTTTCTTTTTATTATTTCAATTTTTATGCAAGACAACCTTTTTAAGCATTTGTTTTATTCCCATATCAAAATTATGCAATGCTCCATTTGTTGCAATAATTATAACTCTAAGTGAAAATTAAATTTGCAAATATTAAGTAGTAGTATTAAGTAGTAAAAAAAGAATTTCATTGAAATTACTTTTGCAGTTTTATACACAATTAGTAGGTTTGTATACAATTGGTTCAATAGATATTTATTATCTAACAACAACGTAAAAATGAAAGCACTTGTGCAGTTGTATATTACTAAATAACATTTGTAAAAATTGCATTATAAGTTATAATGATGTTAGTAATATAGTAAAGATTATAGAGTTTGATTTTGAACAGTGCATGAACATATGTAAATACCGAAATATTACCGAAATAAAAAGAATTAGAATTTTATATTAAAAATTAGAGAAATATTTAGTTATAAATCTGTACATTTTTTAAGTAACATAAGAGATTCTAATGTTTAGAATTTTTACATTATTTTATTGCAAGATGAATATAACTTGTTCCTTTTGTAATGTTAAATGATATACTCTTTATTAATTTTCACTTTTTATTAATAGATTCAATAGTTACGATTACCAGTTATAGTATTACATTAGTAATGAAAGTAAATGAATATATTTAGTTAATTATCGGATATTAAATCATAAAAAATTTATTAAATACTTGCACTTCATGCACAATTAGTGTCATGTTAGACTGTCTTTTTATTTCAAAAACAGCAAGAGAAAAATTGCTGTTATGTGTATTATTACACATAACTGATTATGTTTCAATATTTTGCACTGTTCAATACATATCAAAAGAAACTATAAATGTACATTTTGTATGTAGGAATAAAATAGTTTAAATGACTCCACCTTTACCAATTTTTATATAATTTTATCTGAACGTTGAACATTTAAATGGAATGATTGTAATGAAATGTCGTTATCCTTTTCAATTGTTAAATAAAATTGTTATCTAAAAGTACATAGTTAGTCACATTATTTATTTTTAAAAAACTTTAATACATTTATTTAAATAGTGACTAATAAGCTTTCTTATACATATGAATATATTTTTCAACTTTTTTAACTCTAAAATATAAAAAAATTTTCATCTTAATATAAAATTGAATGCGTTCGGGTAATTCGTAACATTTATGCTAATATGTCAATATTTTGTGATAACTTCAATTCGCAAAATTTATTTAAAATTTCTATGAAAATAATATAATTATTAAAATCAACAATTAGTAAAGTATCTTTTTTTAAATAAGTTTTTAATCTTCATTGCATTATACATTTCAACGAAAAGGAACATATAAATGTAACTTTAGCGGAAGAATAGACAAGAAAGCTAACAAAAAATAAAATATTCGCGATATTAATCAAATTTCATAAAATTATATTTACTATTACGAATATAAAGATAAATATTATTTCTGCATCTTACTTCTTTAAATTTTGAAATTCATAAAATGATACGACTAGTAGCATTCAGGTACATTTCTGTAATACCAAATGTTGAAAATATATTCCCTATATTTTTACTAAAGAAGAATAAACATTTTCCTTTGTACTTCTTGTCACTGACAATAGTCAATGAAATATCTAAACTTTGACGAACTTCGGGTTTAATATTATGTATAAAATACTATAAAAATTATGCAAGTAATTTTTCTTTAACAAGGAATTTATTTATATGAGATTCAGATGAAAGAAAATAGTTTTGAGTTCTGTATGCTTGACATTTTTGAGTAGTCTTCGTCTTTCCCATGAGGTGTTTAGTGGTGCAAATCTCGTTTTCGAAGTATTGAGTGTTCTATTCTTTCTTGGTGTCTGAATTTCTGATATATTTACTGATTAAACATCTTTCATTAGATCAACATGCCGAAAAATAAGGGTTTGTAAATAATTGTTTTACTGTAATTTCTTTACCTGTAGGAATTGTGTGGACTTATGCAGAATGTCGTGCAATTTCTAATGTGCAATGTGGTTAGTTTGTGTTCTAACCTGTTTGTGTCAAATTTTTCTTCAAAATCGTTAAATATATCTTGACAGAAGAGAAATATTTTTTCTTCAAAAATTTACCAAAAGTAGATAAAATAATAATTTTTAAACTTATTTCTCTTTAGGAAAGGGAGGTAAAAACAGGAGAAGGGGTAAAAATGAAAATGAAACGGAAAAAAGAGAGTTAGTTTTCAAAGAAGATGGACAAGGTATAATCTTACAACTTATTTATCATGGTGTTATGTGTTCTGTTTACCTATTTTAAATTATGTTTAATTTAGGTAATATTATACCATATGTTGATGATATTAATTGAATAATATTTTAAATTAAATAAAATAGTTTTGTGAATTTAAAAACTTTTTGTAGAATACGCACAAGTCACAAAAATGCTTGGTAATGGAAGGTTAGAAGCTATGTGTTTTGATGGTATAAAACGATTGTGTCACATTCGTGGAAAATTACGGAAAAAAGTATGGATCAATCAAGGAGATATAATATTAATTGGTCTGCGAGATTATCAGGATGCAAAAGCAGATGTTATATTAAAATACACATCAGATGAAGCTCGTAACTTGAAAACCTATGGTGAATTCCCAGAAACTGGTAAGTAAACATATCTTAATTATTTAAATAAACAACAGAAGTATAGTCAAACTTCATAACTTGAATTTGTCAAATATTCATTTAAAAATCATATTCTTATTTTCTTTCTAATATTTTTGCAGTTCGTATCAATGACACTGTCACTTTTGTGGAAGATGGTTTTGATGAAGATATTGAATTCGGTGATGAAATTAGTGACGATGATGAAGATGATGGTGACAATGTAAGTACTTACAGTTTCAGTGATTTTAGTGGAATTTATCAAATATGTTATAATTTAAAATAAAGAAGTTTTAAATTAATGATATATATGTATACAATTTTAATTCTATTTATAATTAAATAATATTTTTAACTTTATAGATGTGATGACCTTCGATATAAATATACTTAAAAGGTATGGTACAAGAGTGCATGAAGATACCTATTTGTTTTACAAGATGCAATCATTTGTTGCGTAATTAAGATACTAAAAATTTTTTTGAAATAAGTAGTCAATTTTCTGTATCTATAAATAAATTTTCACTTGTAATAAATGTCCATGTAATAATATGTTGCAATTTAAAATTGTTAGATCCTGAATTTTCAGGATTTGTAAATGTTATTAGACCTATGGTATTCACTATATAGCCTGTCTTTTATTTTCATATGACTTCAATTCAAAATAATATCCCATTTTAAATGGATATGAGACTATATATAGATTTTTAAATCAATCTAAAAATTTGTATTTAAGTTCAATTGCAGAATAATTTTTAAAATTTTGTTTGCCTAAATTGAGATACAAATACAAATAATTATGTATTTATGTATGATATCAGTACATTGTTCTTGTAGCAACTTTCTTTTGTATATTTTTTCTTTAATAACCAAATTAAGTAACATATATGCACCATCATTGCAATTTCGAACAGGGGAAGTAGTGAGCACCATACATCACAGCAATTACTTCTATATGTATCAAAGCGTCTCATTAATTCATCTGTTATATAGTACATGTTCAACTTCTTAAAAAGTTGTTTATGTAATTGTATTTTAAAAACAGTGCAGTGTAATTTTAAGATCCAAATTATTAATAATGAATGATGAAAGCAATATATAATTACTAATATTGGTACATCAAAATTTTATTTAAAAATATCTATTAAAAGCAAAATAGCAACCCCCATAACAGGTGAACCGCTTGTCCGAGAATTATATTTATTTAAAGAAAAAATTATTTGTTATATGACAGATTACTTATATATACTATTATTTCATTCTTCTGTACTTTGTATTAAACAATTGTCAGAACATATAAATCATGTTAACTGCTGTATAAAACATTAATTCCATCAAATGTGTACTAAATGAAATTAATGTCAACTGTTAACAACGAATAAAAATATATAAAATACTAAGTTGAGTTGAGTTTTTTTATTTGAACATACAAAATTTGATTAATTTCTTATATACTTTTGTAAAAAACTTATTCATTACCTAATAAAAATTAAGATTTTCTCATTTACTAAGAATTTAGTAAAAACTTAATAAATAATTTCTTATAATAATTACGTATTAAATTCTGTATGTAAAAATTAATAAAATTTTGACGATGTTTTTTTTTAGTTTCTACATATTTAAAAAATTGTTATTAAGCTTAAAAAAAATTATTAAAATAAAATAATTAGGATTGGGTATAATTTCATATTTTTGATGTTTCGTGTTTTTGTTACAAGTACATCAAGAATTGTGATGCAACAGTTTATTTATTACATTGTCGTTGATAACTATCACACAATAGTATATGATAAAATCATACCTTTTCTTCCATTTCTGTTATTTTTTGATATCGTACGCCATACAATGGCTTTATAATTTTAATATAACATTGCAGTAGTTACGAAGGGGTTAAGCAGAGGAAAATTAGAACAGCCGCATGGCGTGTACGCGTTATTCACAAAACCGAAACCATGAAATGTATAAAATTTCGGAGCTAGAAAGCGCACTGATGCGATACTGAATGTTAAATACATTTTAATTTGAACGCATGTGTGTAAAACGACGTAAAATCTTTACACATCTTATTTACGTCGATGATAAATTTTACGCGAAATCGCAATAACAGAACAATCATAAAATAGTAAAGCGAGACTATTATAAACCTTAGTCACAATGCCAACGTTAAACCTCACATATTTAAGTCAAATTCTATAATGACCCTACGCATTTCATTAAAAGAGTTAGTTACTATCCTTCACAGAAATAGTATTACTAAAGATTAGAATTAAACAAACGAATAAATGTTTCAAACATTTAAAGTGTTTCATTCGTACTAAAGTTTTTGGGTTGGGGAATGAAATAGGATTATCCTACCATTTCCTCGATTTAAGAATATGGTAGGCGATAAGCTTAGGCAATTACAAAATATGTATGTATTTTTTATAACGTAACATTACTGGCTTATAAAAAATATTTATGAGAAGTTATCCACTTGCAGATATGATTTTGTAGCGTATCGATATAAATACATTAACTATAGTACACTATAGACAAGTAAGCATTTTTTAGAATGAATAAAGAGAATAATTATATCCAATTAACAATTTCGTTATTGCTTTATAAGCATGTTATGTTTAATAAATGTTACTGGAATTATGCGTTTGTTATATATCATTTGTGTTTAATGAAATTAAATTATTTTCAAGATCGTAAATTGGAATAAAAAAAATACAGTCTGGACACACAATTTTTAACAAATACGATTTATCGTTATGATTAATATTTGTATGATTTAATTATTTTCAAAAATAAATTTTTCAAATAAATATCAAATCCCTTTTTCCAAAAAGTAGAACAAAACTATATACGATGTTAATTATATATAAATAAATAAGTTTATGTTATTTGTATATTTATTAGATAGATCACGAATAGAACATTAATTAGCCAGTGAAGTTACGTGATCGATGGTGAGAAGATTATTTGCATACTTTTTATCAACGTACTCAATAGAGTATAGATAGTAGATATTAGTAAAAAATGTACTAGTATATTGGAGAAAAATGACAGTGAATAAAAAAACTCTGTCGTCATGGACTGTAATAATACTTCGTCATATTACATTGGTTTGCGTCTTGTGTAAAAGGGAAAATAGTTTCTTGTTTTGTAATACAAATAATGTATTGTAACAGTCAGAATATTTAAATGCCAGTATCGCAACGTCCGTAATGAGTTACAATAAATGTTACGACAGTACATAGGAGCATAATGTTTTATTTTGATGCGTGTGTGATTGTGCCTTTGGTCCTTAGGTCAGATAGGCTCTAGGCAAGTCTATTAAACATAGAATAACAGTCATTATAGATAATAATTTATAAACTTCAGATGCATAATTATATCTTCTCAATATATTATACATTAATAGAATACCTTATTTAAAGTATGTATATTTATATATATGTATATATATATTTTTTCTTTTAAATACATACTATATACGATTCCTTTCTGTGCCTTTTAAAACTGTGTTATACATTGAAAGCTAACGCTGCTTAAATGTTAAGACGTGTTTCGAGTCGTAAAAGTTTAAACAACACATTTTCTATAGACGTCATGCCATTTGCGTTTTCTTTTCTTTTATCATTTATAATAATTATAATAATTTACACGATCGTACGAAGGATAAATCGCCGATTAACATTCCTTCTGACCTCAAGATTTATGTGTGTAACATTTGTCCAATGATTTCGCTATATAAATAAAATATTCATGTTTTAATCTTGCAATTATTACAATCGTATAATAGTACATTTATATAAGTTACGCTAAGAAATTATCATATATACAATTAAAAATTGTTAGGAAATATTCTTTTAAATAAGTTAAATTTACATTGTATTACGATCCATAAAAACATTTAGTTCTTGTTGCTACTCAAATCGGAATACTCGACATAATCCGATTTTTCCAACAAATTTTCCAATCTTACATTATCATGTCCGGATTTCCAATGATTCGAATAACAACAAGAAGTTATTTTTCTTTTTAGAATCCGTGTATGTGTGTGTATGTGTGCAGTTCACCGTCAAAAAATGTGACTCGAGTGTTGCTGACCTATCAAGCGATGTATTGCGCGGATAGATATACAATCATTCTAAAGCTAAAATGAACTGCCAAGTGGCGAGTTATGCGAAGTCATTAAGATCTGCTTTTTCGATTCCATTTCACTTATCTTTTTCTTTTTTCAAAAATGTTTACAAATATATATCGCCGTAATGTTGGTCGGGCTTGCATTTCAGACGAATTATTTCCTTTTATGTTTTCTTTTTCATTGTTTTTGTCCATATTGTTCCTGTAAGCGTTTACTCCTTCGTTACTTTTCATACTCCTGTTTCTTTTCGCTTTGAACAACACGAGAAAGGCGTTGTACATGGACGGGTTGGCTTAGTGAAGACTAGCGAAGTCAGCTAGTCGGACTAGCGACGACATACGTTATTAATCGCAAGATTAAACGTAAATATATAAGGCAACTTAATGCAACCGAAAGGCAAGCAAATCCGAAGCGTAGGCCATGAGTGTGATAGTAAATCGCCGTGCATACTTTTCGTATGTTTTCATGAAGCACCACGAGGAAAATTCGCAAATATTATTTGATATAGACATGAACAGGATCTATATCGAAAGACATTCTTCACTTTTTGATCTCATTATACATTTTTTGAAGTCTCGTTTGACGTTCGAGGATACATCAAATTCGACAGGTGCTTCCTTCGATTAGTGCTACAGAATCTTTTTCGATATTTTTCTTTTTTTATTATGCACGATTATCGGATGACGAAGAATTCTTTTTTATTTCTATATTCGCCCATAAGACCCTTGGTGCTTCACTGATCTCGCCTTTCCTCCATCATGAATCGATCGACGATCTTCTGCATGGACTCTCGCAATTCGTCTGGACCACTGGCGGTTCCGCTGGTCGTTGTAATTACTTGTACAGTTCTCGTTATTCTAGAAAATGAAATTTCTACTATACATTTCGTCAAACCAATAAAATAAAAATTAAATTATTGCAAATATTATTATTATCATCATCATCATCGTCATTACTAAATATTTAAACTGAAATAACTTACATTTTACTTTATAACTACTTGTTTTAAAATTTTATATTAATAAACTTTATGAACTTTTCTACATATTTTAGATGATTATATTATGAAATTATTTTCATAGCTTAAATATGGTTTATTTTAATGGAAAATGTTTAAAAAATGATTCCTCTTTATACACACCTTTCCTGAGTTTCAGGGTCCTCTTCTGTCGTTGTCGTTTCCACGTAGGATGGCTCGCTAAGTTGCAAAAAGTCAGATTCTGCGTAACAAATGAGAATTTATCAAAAGACATGTTCCTCTGTGTGGGATACAAAATTCTTACTATTTTAGCGGTTCACATAGATACAAGTACCAATCGTATATCTCTCAATATTACATCATGCCCAAAACAAGGGGTAATACTAGACACATATAAAAAAAGTAACAACATCGCTATACATTTGACGATACATAATATATAATACGCATTTTCACTCAATCAGCCAACTATGCAACCGCTTTTCTTACACTTCACGTATATTTAATTCGATGATTCGTATTGTAATATTCGACGTGTTTATTTAATGGTCGTGTTTAACGATGTTCAATTTCATAACGCCCGCCACAGGAAGTGAATAGTATATCATCGAAATTATATTTAAGGAAATATAATATTCGACTCCCTATGCACGATTATGAATTCTTTACGCATGCGATCTACGATTATTAGAATAATCTTGACTTTAATTCTCCTTCGTTTAATCTTCATTTTGTCACGTGTAGTACAAGTACTATATGCACTAATAGCAGCGCTGGAGAGTCCATATCGACTAATTTGTAATTAAGTATGATATAATTATTGAGGCACGTTTAAGATATTTCTCACAAGAAAGGTTTTACAATCCTTTCGACCTTTTACGAGTGAAAATCTCCCGCTCTGAAAGTAATGGAACGCAGATAACTGTGTTACATTCGTACATAACCTCACTTATGCAAGTGACAAGTGATTAACTGTCATGGTATCTATTTACCAAAACATTCTATTATATCAAATTCTGTTATAGAACAAATTCTAATGTAAAATGATTTTACTGTATAGAAGTTAATAAATTATAATAGAATTGATAATTTATTTAGTAATATTTTGCAGAATATTTGTCCATCTGAATACATGAAGTGTATTATACATTAGGAAATACACGACGTTATACCTTCTTGGACGAAATACTATACTACGTAAGATAGTACAAATAAAGCACACATTATTCGATTCAATTACTTCAGAATACCATTGAGTTTCACTAATAAAGCAAAGTCAAAGGAAACCTTCCGTGTAAGCAGGACTGTGCTGCACGCAGCGAGCTCGTGTGAAGCGCTGATAAAAGCTACTGAATAATAAAGCGTTTAGCAGTTAGTCATAAGATATAATAAGTACTAAAACTTTCCGATACAACAGAAGAGTATCCACTACGGTGAAAACTGAAAGGGGGAATTTCTTCGGTGGAAAATAAGTAAGAACGTACGTAAGGAATTCTAATTCACAAAGAGTTTCTAGAATCGAGGTTATCGAGCCTCGACTAAAGGCTACCCTACGTAAAGGATACTAGCTTAATCGTCATGAAACAAGATACAAATATTCTACTCAATACACGCTATGTTGAACAAATTTTCAGACTGAAACGATATGTTTACTCGTTCGTACTGTAACAATTGACTAAAAAAAACGTTCCGAATGAATAAAGAATGAAAGTATATTCCAAGTTCAACGACTAGAATGGAAAAAAATATTCGCAAATTACACACTCCTCGACAGTTCGAGCTTTATCATTGTAGGAACAATATCGTACTTACAATTTTCGACCGAGGAAAACGCTCTCTGGTTTTGACCGTAGCTCTTTGAAACACCCTGTATATAGTGGCAACAAGTTTAAAGGGGCGCGTACTAACTACATCAGTTAGTGTTGTTAGACGAACGGTCAAGTATTATTGAAAGTATTATTGCAGTTTTTGGATGTATCAGCTTTTTTCAGAAACGGACAGAGGGAGAAGCAATTTTGTGCATTCTCATACGTCTGTGTTCCTCCAGCACTTTTCTTCTGAACATTTCATCTATCCTCCATGGACCCTCCATTTACTCTTAGAGAATTATGCTTCCATAATTTTGTCACATATTTAAAAAATATACGTTCAAATATTCAGTATTTAAACGTAGTTTTTAAACGTGCAAGTAGGACTTTTAAACAATGTATTGGAATAAGTATCTCTTATTTGGTAAAAAGACTGTACCTTATAGTGGAAAAATATCAAACGAATATTTATGTCACATAAAATTTATTTAGAACTTAGAACTAATTTTCCATGAATTAGAATTTGTATTCTCCACATTTTTAGTTAACGTAATGAATATCTATAATTTGTTAACAGTGAGGTTATGTATTTATATATGCATGAAAGTGGAGATATTAAATTTATTTCAAAGCTTTAAAAATATATAAAATGAAATAATGGTCAGAAGAAAAATTCAGGATTACCACGAATGCTGTGTAAACTTGCACAGAATCACATCTGAAGTGCATTCGACGAACGTACACGATTAGTGGCATCGTTCAGCCATTAGCGAATTACGTTTTTGCAACTCTAAACACAAAGAGGTCGGAGCGTTTCCATTTTCATACAGGTTAGAATCTAACTCTAAGATATGCATTCCAGGTACGAAATGTACCATTCGAAGCTGTGGGACGTACATTTGGAACTCAATCTGTCGAGCGATTTTTGTAATGAGTGTAATGGGTTCGTGTTCACACGCACGTGTACATAGATAAAGGCTACTTACATGACGATTCGCCTAACAATCCTAACGTGACTAAAAAATACGATTTGTTGGTCCCTCTACACTTTAGCTTTATCTTGAGTTGCTTATTGTCAGAAGAGCTAGAAAGGGTAAATAGTGAGAACTATAGGACGCATGAAATTAAAGTGAGAGTTCGAGCTCTATTATCTCGTTTGTCTTGGGTACGTGCACCAGGCGTAGAGAACGCTATTGTGGTGGGGGGGTGGAGAGAAGTGATAAATCATTGCTTTGTAAAACGCTGCAGGAGACAAACTTAAGATCGATATAAAATGCAATAAAGATCATGCGAGGTGTCAACTGTATTTCAAATCATGCAGCACATTCGATACGTCGGTAGGATGAAACGTGTCAGAAAAAAAAAGCTTGCATACGAATCCTTTGAAAGTTTACACTTTCTCCATTACCTGTTTCGTAAATTATACACATATTTCTAGATCTCTGTCGATTATCGTACCTATGTGATAAACAAAATTTTCAGGTTACATGCTCTAGATATTAAAAGCTAAACCAACGTAGTAGAAAATTAGTTTTAATTGCAGTTATTGTTTATCTAGTTTTTTCACTAAAATTAGTATTAGATCGTGTGCCTGTAGTATAGCGAGTATATAAATCGTCTAAACCGTTATGTTATACAATAATCAACTTCTCTGGGACTGTGCATACTTTAAAAATATATTTCCCTATTTTTGATATATTGTGTCTAGAAATGTGTAGCTGGATTGTTCTTTTTCTTTTTAAAATCGAAAATCTATATACATGTCAAAAATTTATGTCACTTCGACGTTATTCATTTTTGCAGATCACGTTTAGAATTAGGTTTATAAAACTTACTTTCTTATACTTTCTATGAACAAATGTTTATCAAACACTAATACCATATTCTACTAACTGCAAAAGAATTTTCTAAACTTTATTTTGTACAATGAAAATTTGAAAGTTATTTATTTATACATTTTTTTCACGTACCATTTGTTAATTTGTAAAATATCAACAATCATATTACCATTTAGGATGTTTCAATGATTTAAAAATGAATTTAATTTACAACAAAAATTTTTAGTTCTATATGCTTGCTATAACAGTACTAAAATATGTTTAATTGAAAATGTTTCAGCCTTATAGTTAGTAGAATAAACCCTTAATGTTTAACCAAACATTAATCTACGGTAATAGTCATAAAAATATCAGTAAATTAATAATAAACGAATAGTAACGGGAATATCAAATTTTTTAAGGTTAAGCTGCAAAGTAACTTATCGAGTAACTAAATAATTTTGGGCATGGGGTATATCTTAAACCTTTCCGATTCAAATTCCTCGCAATAGAAATAAATAAAATGAAGGGTAAATCGTACCCAGTTTGCCTCGGGACATTGTTAGAGAGGGTGTAGATGGCACGTTGGAACGTTCGTGGCTCCAAGGCAAGAAATATTGCTAGTAGGATCACCAATGTAGCGGCAGCTACGCTCATCCAACATGCGCAGCCCCCTCTACCGGCAGTCTTCGTCCTAGGTGTTCCCTCTATTGTACTTCGCCGTGTGCTCGAACAAACTGACCGTACCGAACTGTCTGTTTCTGTCACTTAAACATTACGTCCTCCCATGAATCTTCTATCCGATTTGTATGTACTCGTTTTGATAAATTGACTCGACTGAATTCTGCGATCCCACGCCGTGATTAGTATGAAGAAACAGCGGGCGAAGTATGCGAAGAAAATAGCAGCGATTATCGCGTCGATATGTCCGAACAATCGATCGATTCGCAGTGATGCTTCTGACTTTTGTTTTTAAGAGTTGGCACGCATGACACGGATACTTCATGTTTGTAAACATCAATGACTCGGAAGCTGAGAAACTTTTGCGTTATCCCTTCTGTTATTGACGAAATTATGTCCTTTTCGGAATTAATCGTAGATTCCGGGTTAAATTGATCCCAATAGAAAGCTTTGTTGATGACTTTGCAAAGCCGAAACGAAATTTTTTGTTTTAAATTCGCCACTGCACTTTTAGTGGATTATTACAGATATTTGACACGTATGAGGTACGATATGGCCAATGCGTTATGGGGTTGCCCAATTAATGTGACTTCAATGCTGACAGTAAAAGATTTTATAATTTATTAACGCGTAAAATGACTAACACCCGTCGTGTAATTATTGATAAGTTGAAATGTCTGGGGAGTAAATGAAAATTTCTATAATTTTTAATGTATGCACCATCGCTATTTCGTGACACTTGTATGTGATAAATATACTGAACATAATAAATGTAATAAATCTTTCAATGTGGAATTTCGTAAAAAGATATTGTACTGACCAAGTTCAAAAAGCAATATCATATTTCTGTATCAATAAATATATTACTCATAATTTTATATATTTTGATTGCAGTTTCCAAAAAATTTCGGAGCTCTTTTTAAAAAGAAATTCTTCATTTTAACCAAATAGTAATATTGTTTTTAAATAAATATTATTAGTAACAAAAATAGTTTATAGAAAATAGTAATAATAATTTTTATTTCATATATTACTTTGTATCAGTTAAGGATGGAATAAAACAATTTTTCGCATAAAGATGTTTGATTTGATAATAAAATTTTCTTTGTTGATATGATAAATTTAAATACGATATTTCTTTTTAAATATGCATAATTTTACAAATGCCTGTACGCCGTGTAGAATGTTTGACCACGAATGAACATCAATATGAAAAGTATGCTAGTCCCAGAAGCACCTGATCGCAATCTTATCCGTTCAACACCAAAACCAACAATAGGCGTAAAAGGGGTAAACTTCTCTTGAAACGAAGCACATTGAATCGATCACCAATAACCCTATGATGTAAATACTCGCCCACGATAACTCCACGAAGAATCAAAAAACCACAAAAAAGAATGCAGATTTACGACTGCACTTCACAAGCTTTGTTTTTCCTTGCGAGTGGTTATCATCGTTTTATACGGTCAACATTCTCCCACCTTGTGCAAATACACCTCCAGTTATATAGGTTATACAAGCTTAAGATCATGCAACATTGTGTGCAACGAAATAAAAAAAGAAATATATATATTAAATTAGCCACTGACGTAATGTTTCCGCTTAATACAAAGAAAACTAGATTACTCAATTAAAATCAATTTCCAACGTTTCACTAACGAATCTAAATGTCTTCTTTTTAGAATTAACGAAAAACAATATTTAAATCTACAGTTATGCATCTTTATATGAATTTTGAATATTCGTATCACTGAATATTTGTGCTATTATTATTTGCTACATATGTCTCGTCCTGGTATAATTAAGCTGTTAGTCTAATACTCTCCTCAGTATCGATACTTCTTTCTCGATTCGATTAATCGTAACCAACGTTTGTCACTTCGCGTTGATCAAGAAATATCATCTTAAACAAACGTCATATATCTTTTACTAGGCGTGAATGTCAGTACGGGCTATAATAAGCTAGAATTAGGATAACAAAAATAATAAAACAGTGCAAGTGCATGCAAACAAAGCGTACCACAATAAAAGCATACGAAAAACCATATAATTCACGTTCTCGGATCTGATTATGTTTCTCGGGTAACTTGGTTAGCGGGATATGTACATTGCTTACTTAGAAGGTTAGCTGTGAGTGCGGTACCTTGGTCGTCCTCCAACGGGGACAGCTCCGCACCTTCGTGCAGTGCTACATCAGACCCGCTGGAACTGCCCAATGTACACCTCTTGCATGGTGATCTTCTCGATTGTGGTGAACCGTCACTATCAGTGTCGCTGTTTAAGTAATGCCGTGAGCTACCACTTTTAGTATAGATGTCGCCATTACCAGAGCCGGGCGACGTGTCCTGAGAGAGCTGGCTCTCCCATTGCTCTACTTTATCATCGTTCAGGAAAGAACGATCTGCCAGGCTGCCATGTGCCCACGGCTCAGATTCGGTAGTGCTCTTTATTATCTTTGATGATAACTGGTCAATATTGAACGGCATCGCCTCGTGACCTTGTAGCTGTCTTACAACAGGCATCGGTATGTCCCCGTAATCACCACTAGATGTCACCGTTCGCACGATTCGCTCAGTCTGTCCTGTGCCAAATGACTCCGTTGCGATGCACCGTACAGTCGTCACTGTCTTTATCACCGTCTCAGTTGATACTACCTCGTCCGTGATGCTTTTCTGTACCTTGGATATCGTCGTATGTGTCGTGTCATCAATACCAAGCGGGAAATTCTCTAAAGTTTTAGTCTCTTTTGTGATGAATGTATCCGGTCTAACAATGTCCGTTTCACTTCTTTGATCTTCTTTTGTTGTCATCGTTACAGTCTCTATTCTTTTTATGGTTTCACCTGTCTGCTCGAATTTTCCGGAATCGAGCAACTTGGCACGTGTGTCCACAATGGTTGTCGTCGTTTGTGTTTCATTCGACACTTCGGGCTTTATCGAGTCACTTTTCTCTTTATCCTCTTCCAGCTGTCGTGCTTCTTTCTCGCAAAGTGATTTCTCTGACAACTCTTCGAGCAACTTCTCAGAGTGTTCTGTGACACCTACTGACTTAATAATGAGAGGATCCATTGTTAATTCCAGCTCATCTAATTTTTTCGTTTTTTCGAGGTCAGACTCAGCGCTTGTTGTTAGTTTGCTCATCATTTTTTCATTTTCTATAGATTTTTTTACTTTTACAGGTATTTTACTTTTCGGGCTGCTCTTTTCTGGAGAATATTCATCTTTTGGCGGCTCCTTTGTCTTAAACTTGGGACTGTACGGCGTGCAGGAGGTATCTCCCAAGTCTAGATGAAAGTCTGTTTTGGACGACCTGGTAGAGTGTCGCGGGGCGGGAACAGGTTGCTTTGTTGGAGCAGAAGTAGCATGCCTCTCTACAGTCCCATCAATCTCAGCCGAATCATGCCCTGACCCATCCAAAAGGACATGGACAAGAACAGGAACAAGGACATAAAGCACATTGATACACACTAAGAATTTCAAGTCTAGCCCAGCTGCGACAGTTGGACTGAAAGATTCAGCGTGTTTGTCTCACAAACGTACTTGTGTGTACGCGCATACACACGAAACTCGTGTGCCCACACACGCATGCATATTATCGCATTATATGCCTGTGTGTGTGTGTGTGCAGCACACATCTACATTTAGTTCTTTTTAGTTAGTATCAATACTGCAACAGGATTAGTATGTTTATAAAAACACTCATTAAATGGTGTCTAGTCATGGCGCCTGAATCTTACTAAAATGTACCCTGCAAAACAACTACCTTTTAAATTACCCCAATAACCAGCAGAGCTAAGTTAAGAAAATTAAACTTCTCTCTATTCTTACTTCTTTCTTTTTCCATTTTTTATCTATTTCTTTATTTTTTGCAGATTTATAAGCGTGATTTTTGTGAATTTATTGAAAGCGATAAATTTTTATAGCAGTGAATGGAATCAGTGAGGTAAAGTAACATGTTCCTTACCAACTAAGTGAAATTAAAAAATTGTCTAAGCTACTTTGTCTCACTCAGCTAAACAATTATTTGTTCGACAGAGCTATACATAAAGTAGATCGAAGGCGTCCCAAGTATTCAAATTGTCCAAAGAAGAGAATTTACCTTTACTTGACGATATTTACTCTATAATGCCGCAAAGAGGTATCTATTTAGTAAGAAACGTGCGCACAATATTAGTGTGAAAGCGTCGGCAGGTGCTAACTATGGAAGATAAAGCTAAATATAAATGAGGGCACCAAAATAGAATCTGCTAACTTATTGATCTTGGGCCTGCGATCTGTGTTCGTGAGTTTTATACTTTCTCTGGCCATACGTTACCTGATTTAGCCAATGATTGTGCCTGATCAGCTAGGTTCTGGGCTCGCCTTGCTGCCTCCTCGGTAACATCTGGAAAAGTATGTGAAAGTAGCATAAGAAGAAGGAAATAACAATGTGAACATTGAAAGCAATGATTTGACAAAGATTAGATGAATGATGTTTCCCTGCATGGCATACCTCGGTTCATGCTTCGCTAGTTGTGGTTTCCTGTTAATTCAATGAGATATATTACCGTATAATATATAATAGTATGATGACTATGTTATGCTATAATAAAAGAAATGAATAATGACAAATAAGGTTGTTGATTTGGACCGATAATCTCATTATCGACGGATAATAAAACATTTGGTCGTGGATAATATTGTAATGTTAAAAAATAGCATTAAAAACCTGGAAACATGCATCAAAGAAATGTTAAAAAAGTTAAAACGCACAAACTGAAAATAATAACAGCAAATAAATAGAAATAATGTAAACACGTTGTTTTACATATGTCTTTGCTACGGTCGATCACGTATCTTCTTTTTTCTTTTTGAATTATCATACTATAAAGTGTGTTGTCCATCGAATGAGTATAATCATATAAGATGATTAAACGTCTACAAAAGCTTTGAAATGTACATGAGACACGTTTGAAATGAAACCGTAAATCGCAATGTTTACTTACTGTCGATAATACAGAATGCACGTTACCTTTTCACTTTTGCAATAAAAAGAAGCTCCACTTTATAGTACGTTCGACGTTCTTGCTTTATAAAAGATCATGTAAACATTAGTACACTAAAAGTGACTGAGATCAGAGTGTTAGAATTCATTACGAATGACAGAGTGCAATGACCTCTTTGGTCATTTTGGTATGACTACCAAAACATAAGTTACAGAAAAGCGTCAACTTAATTAATCATGTTACACACAGCTGGTATGTAATATGTATAACGCAATTATTGCAAGATACCTTCAATTCTACTGTCAGTGTACTCGGCGGGACTGGGTGGTGGGGTCGCTGCCGTCCGCACAGACTTTGTTACGACTGTGGTGACGGTCTGTCGTGTGTGAGGCTCGAGGTGCTCTATTTCGCTAAATACGTTTACTACCCTAACTGTACTATCCGTTGAACTACTAGTGCTAACTATTCGGTCTTTAGAGGAACTAACTTTTTGTGGAATGCGAGATACTTTCTTGGATTTTGATTCGCTGGCACGATCATCGTCTCTTACTTCGGAGAGTCTAATCTGTGCTTCGGAACCTAAGCCAGAAAATGGATCATATGTATCGAAAACTGAGGAAGTAATAGTTTCTGTCGTAGACTTTATATCTCTCCCATGTTTTGGAATCGGTACTCCTTTCAATTCTGGTTTCATCTCTCGAACGAACGTCGATGTATCTACGTTTTCGTACACATGAACATCTGGTTTATCTTGAAAATGTCCTTTGTCCCAAGCAGAGTCGCGTTTCATCTCTTCCAGAAAGTCACTCAGACTGCCTTTCATGTCACTACCGGTTATAACAAAATTCTGTTCTACTTGAGTCGATAATTTATCTCCAAAGGATCTTCCAGCGTCAGATGCTCTTTGTGCACCGGTAACTATTTCTTGAGTAGTGCTTCCCATAAATTCTACAGTGTGTTTCGCGCCATCTGATACTTTTTCGCCAACAGCTTTGCCAGTGTCTGATACCATCTGTACACCATCAGATACTTTCGCACTAGCTGCAGCTTTTGCATCCTTCGCGCCTGTTTTAACCTTGTCCTTGGTAGTTCTTACATCTGCCGCAAGTTTATCTGCAGCAGCGTCAACGTCCTTCATTTTCTCTGAGACTGCTCCGCGAACGCGAGCTTCTTCTTCTACAGCCTCCTTCTTCGTTTCATCAACAAACTCTTTAACATCTCCAGAAATTTCATCGGCAGCGTGCTTTGCGCTTTTAATTAAACCAGAAAAGAAGCCTCCGCTTTTTTCTTTCACTTTCTTACCCTCCTTCGAAGCCTTGTCCTTAGCTGTTTTCGCGCCATCTACAATCGTGTCCACTCCAGAAGCAACTTTCTGTTTCACGATTGATGTATCCTCTTTGATTTCTTTGGTCAACTTGTCTTTCGCTGACTTTGCACCATTAGCCACGCTTTGAGCAGCTGTTTCTACTTTTGCCTCTGTTTTCTTTACTCCATCAGCAACTGTTGCGCCTAAAAGTCTGCTGGTGTCTGCTATCGCTTGGGCAGTACCAGACACCTTTTCACTGACCTTATCTTTCGTATCCTTTGTTGCAGTTGCAACTTTCTCCCCGGCACCTTTCATGTCTCCAGCTACTTTGTCTTTAGTTGCTTTGGCACCTTCGCTAATTTCTCGAGCAGCAGTTTCTGTCTTTGCTTCCACGCCTTTCACTCCACTAATGACTTTATCAGTCACAGCTTTACCGGTATCTGACATCATTTGTACAGTACCGGTTACTTTCTCGCTGACTTTATCCTTGGTATCTTTCACACCAGCTGCAACTTTATCTTTAGCAGCTTCCATGTCGGCCTCAGCTTGTTGTTTCGCCGCGTCAACTTCTTTCACCTTACCAGCAACTGCTTCACGAGCGCGTGTCTCTTCTTCAGCAGCCTCTTTCTTTGTTTCGTCAAGAAATTCCTTAACCTCGTCGGAAACATCATCCGCTGTATGCTTTACACCTTTTATCAATCCTGATAGGAAACCACCGGTCTTCTCTTTAGCCTTTTTAGCTTCCTTTGCAGCCTTATCTTTTGTCGCAGCAGCGCCATCTGCCACCGCATGTATTCCAGAAGAAACGGTTTCTTTGACAACCTCGGTATCGTGTTTAATTTCGTCTGATAATTTATCCTTTGTTGCTTTGGCACCATCTGTTACCTCTTTAGTAAATGCTTCTGCTTTAGCTCCTGTTTGTTTGGCACCATCGGTAAGCTTATCGGACACAAATTTTCCTGCATCTGATACTTTCTGTGCACTTGCAGATATCTTTTCACTGACACTCACTTTGGCATCTTTAGTAGCAGTTGTAACTGTGTCCTTAATATCCTTTGCACCGGTAACTACCTTATCCTTGGTTGCCTTGGCACCTCCAGCAACGCCATGAGCAGCTTCTTCAGTTTTTGCTTCTACTACTTTCACTCCGTCAACGACTTTGCCACTGACGGTTTTACCTGCATCTGACACCTTTTGTACTCCCTCAGATAGTTTTCCTACAACTGAATCCTTGGTGTCCTTCATGGTAGTTTTCATCTTATCTTTTGTATCCTTTAAATCTGCAACTGCTTTATCTTTCGCTGCGCCAATGTCTTTGGCTTTCTCTGACATAGCTTCGCGAGCACGAGCTTCCTCTTCAGCAGCTTCCTTCTTTGTCTCATCAAAGAATTCCTTGACATCCTCTGAAACTTCATCTGCAGCATGCTTGGCGCTCTTGAATAACCCAGAAAGGAATCCACCACCCTTTTCCTTGGCCTTTTTAGCTTCCTTTGCAACTTTGTCTTTTGCAGATGCTGCACCGTCCACAGCTGTGTCTATGCCCGTTGAAACTTTCTGTTTTACGACTTCCGTATCTTTCTTAACTTCCGTTGTTACTTTGTCCTTTGCTGCTTTTGCACCACCAGCTATGTCTTGTGCCACTGCTTGTGTTTTATCTTCAGCTTTCTTGATGCCACCTACCACTGTATCTCCTACTGCTTTACCAGCTTCTGAGATCTTTTGAGCTCCTTCAGATACTTTCTCACTGATTTTATCCTTGGTATCTTTTGCAGCAGATGCAACTTTATCTTTAGCGTCTTTCGCATCCGTTACAGCTTTGTCTTTTGCTGCTTTTGCACCATCAACTATACCATGAACTGTAGCATCTGCCTGTTCTTCAGCTCGCTTCACGCCATCAACTACCTTCTCGCTAACGGCTTTCCCAGCATCTGACACCTTTTGCGCAGTTTCAGATACTTTCTCACTGACCGTATCTTTAGCATCCTTCACAGCAGTTGCTACTTTGTCCTTGGTATCTCTTGCTTCTGCAGCTGCCTTGTCCTTTGCCGCGTCAACGTCCTTCAACTTCTCTGCCATTGCTTCGCGAGCTCTGGCTTCCTCTTCGGCTGCTTCCTTCTTAGTCACGTCGAGAAATTCTTTAACTTCGTCAGAAACTTCATCAGCAGTATGTTTCGCACCTTTGAACAGTCCTGTCAGGAAGCCGCTTCCCTTTTCTTTAGCTTTCTTAGCTTCCTTCGTTGCTTTATCCTTCGCTGAAGCTGCGCCATCTACAACTGCAGCTGCTCCTGACGAAACTTTTTGTTTTATAGCTTCAGCGTCGTCATGAATCTCTTTAGATACTTTACCTTTAACTTCTTTCGTTTCTGCAGCTATTTCATGTGCAGCTGTTCCAATTTTATCCTTGGCCTTTTCTACTCCATCTGCAGCTTTTTCTCCAACTGCTTTCCCAGCATCTGACACCTTCTGTGCACCTTCAACTACTTTCTCAGCGATTTTATCTTTAGCATCCTTCGCCGAAGCCGCAGCTTTATCTTTAATGTCCTTTGCATCAGCAGAGACTTTATCTTTCGCTGCCTTTGCACTATCTGCTACTTGTTGCGCAGTGGCATCCGCAGCTGTGCCAATTTGTTTCACACCGTCTGTTACTTTTTCTCCAACAGATTTACCAGCATCGGATACCTTCTGCATGCCATCGGATACCTTGTCGCTAACCTTATCCTTGGTATCTTTCACTCCTGATACTACTTTATCCTTCGTATCTTTTATAATTGTTACGCCTTTGTCTTTCATCGCATCAACGTCCTTTGCTTTCTCTGCCACTACTTCTCGAGCACGAGCTTCTTCTTCGGCAGCTTCCTTTTTCGTTTCGTCCAGGAATTCCTTGACTTCTCCGGAAACTTCGTCTGCAGCGTGTTTGGCTCCTTTAAATAATCCAGAAAGGAAACCACTGCCTTTCTCTTTGGCCTTTTTAGCTTCCTTTGCAACTGCATCCTTTGTAGTCGCAGCTCCATCTGTTACTGATTCCACGCTAGACGATATCTTCTGTTTCACGATATCAGTGTCTTCCTTGATCTCCTTCGCAGCTTTGTCTTTCGCTGTTTTCGCACTGCTTGCAATATCTTGAGCAACAGCGGCTGTTTTATCCTCAGCTTTCTTCACTCCATCGGTAACTTTTTCTCCTAACGTTTTGCCAGCATCGGATAACATTTGTGTACCAGTCACCACTTTGTCGCTAATTTGATCCTTAGTATCTTTTGTAGCAGTTCCAACTTTGTCCTTAACATCTTTCAGATCTGAAATTACTTTATCTTTAGTTGATTTGACACCATCAGCTGCTTCACCAACTGCTGCTTTCGTCTTCGTTTCGACATGCATTGCAGCATCAACGACTTTGTCTCCAGCAGCTCTACGCGCGTCTGATATTTTCTCTATACCCTCAGATATTTTTCCACTCACTTTGTCCTTTGCATCTTCTACAGCACCTGCAACTTTCTGCTTTGCATCCTTTACATCCGCTACAGCTTTATCCTTCGCTGCATCGATATCTTTCATTTTCTCTTCTACTGCTCCTTGCAGCCGGACTTTCTCTTCTGTAGCTTCCTTCTTCGTTTCCTCGAGGAAATCCTTCACATCTCCTGAAACTTCATCTGCAGAGTATTTTGCGCCTTTGAATAATCCCGAAAGGAAGCCACTACCTTTCTCCTTGGCTTTCTTTGCTTCTTTCGCAGCTTTATCTTTGGCAGACGTTGCACTATCTGCAACTGAGTCCATCGCTGCTGACACTTTCTGTTTAACTGCGTCAGCGTCATCTTTGATTTCTTTGACTACCGTGTCTTTTGCTGTTTTAGCTCCGCTAGATATTTCATGGGCAGTCTTCTCAGCTTTGTCTTCAATTTTCTTCGCGCTATCTACAACTTTTTCTCCAATTAGTTTACCCGTGTCTGAAACCTTCTGTGCGCCCTCAGACACGGTGTCACTGACCTTATCCTTGGCGTCTTTTACTGCAGACGCGGTTTTATCCTTGGCGTCTTTTACTACAGACGCGGTTTTATCCTTAACGTCTTTTACATCTGCAGCGATCTTGTCCTTTGCTGTTTCTGTACCGGCAGCTAAATCTTTGGCTGCTACTTCCACTTTCGCTCCGGCATCCTTCACGCCGTCTGAGACTTTCTCGCCGAATGCCTTACCAGCATCTGAAACCTTATGCATAGTACCAGATACTTTCTCACCGACTTTATCCTTGGTCTCCAAAACAGCACCTGCAACTTTATCTTTTGCATCTTTCACGTCAGCTGCTGCTTTATCTTTCGCTGCGTCGAGGTCTTTAAGCTTTCCTGCTACTGCTTCTCGAGTACGAACTTCTTCCGCAGCAGCTTCCTTCTTCGTATCATCAACGAATTCTTTGACATCTTCCGAAACTTCATCTGCAGCGTGCTTAGCGCTCTTAAACAATCCAGAAAGGAATCCACCACCCTTTTCCTTGGCTTTCTTAGCTTCCTTGGCGACTTTGTCCTTTGCCGAGGCTGCACTGTCTGCAGCTGTGTCTATGCCTGAAGAAACTTTCTGCTTCACAGCTTCGGCATCTTTCTTAATTTCGGTTGCTACTTTGTCCTTCGCTGCTTTTGCACCTGTAGCTACGTCTACTGCAACTGCTTCTACTTTACCTTCAGCCTTTTTGACACCATCCACGATACCTTCTCCAACAGCTTTCCCAGTCTCTGATACTTTTTGTTTACCATCAGCCACCTTTTCGCTAATCGTGTCTACTGTACCCTTAGCAGTTGCCGTTACTTTGTCTTTAGCATCCTTAATCTCAGCAGTGGCTTTATCCTTTGTTGCTTTCGCGTCATCAGCTAGTTCTTGAATTTTAGTATCGGTCTTCTCTGCTGCACGCTTCGTTTCGTCAGTGATTTTCTCACCAACGGCCTTTCCAGCGTCTGAAACCTTCTGTGTAACATCAGATACCTTCGAGAAGATTGTATCCTTTGTGTCCTTTGCGGCAGTTGCAACTTTATCTTTCGTGTCTTTTACTTCCGCAGCTGCTTTGTCTTTAGCTGCTTCGATGTCCTTCAACTTAGCATCCGTTGCATCTTGCAGACGGGTTTTCTCTTCTGATGCTTCCCTTTTCGTTTCATCAAGGAAGTCCTTTACATCATCTGAAACTTCATCTGCAGCATGTTTGACACCTTTGAATAATCCTGAAAGGAAACCACTACCCTTTTCCTTCGCTTTCTTAGCTTCTTTAGCAGCTTTGTCCTTGGCTGAGGCTGCGCTATCTGCCACTGCGTCTATTCCAGACGACACTGTTTGCTTCACGGTATCGACATCTTCCTTAATTTCCTTGGCTGCTTTGTCCTTTGTTGTTTTAGCAGCATCAGCTACTCCATGAGCGGCTACTTCTGCTTTGCCTTTAGCTTTTTCTACGCCATCTACAACTTTTTCTCCAATTGTTTTGGTAGTGTCTGTTACCTTTTGTGCTCCTTCCGATGCTTTCTCTGTGATTTTGTCTTTCGTGTCCTTTGCAGCAGTTGCCAGTGTCTGTGTAGTATCTTTTGCACTTGTAACTAGTTTGTCTTTTGCTGTTTTCACGCCGTCAGTTAGCTCTAGCGCAGCAGCTTCTGTTTTAGCTTCTGCCTGCTTTGTGCCATCAGCTATCTTATCTCCAACAGTTCTCCCTGCATCTGTTACTGTTTTAACGCCATCAGATATTTTTTCACTAACCTTGTCCTTGGTGTCTTTTACAGCGAAGGTCACCTTATCCTTCGTGTCCTTTACATCTGCAACTGCTTTCTCCTTTGCCGTATCCACGTCTTTCACAGTTTTTTCCATGGATTCACGAGCACGTGCTTCTTCTTTCGCTGCTTCCTTCTTTGTTTCATCAAAGAATTCTTTCACCTCTTCAGAAACCTCTTCTGCTGCATGTTTTGCGCCTTTGAACAGGCCTGAGAGGAAACCTCCACCCTTTTCCTTAGCTTTCTTTGCTTCCTTTGTGACCTTCTCTTTAGCTGCATCTGCACCATCTGTAACTGCATCAACACCCGATGAAACTGTTTGTTTCACTGCGGCGGTATCTTCTTTAACCTCTTTCTCTAGTTTATCTTTAGCCATCTTTGCACCTTCGGCTACCTCGTGAGCAGACGCCTTCGCTTTATCACCGGCTGTCTTTGCACCACTTACTATCTTCTCTTCTACCTTCTTACCGGTATCTGATATTTTCTGCGAACCTTCTGTTATTTTCTCACCAAGTTGGTCCTTAGTATCCTTCACAGCTGCTGCAGTTTTATCCTTGGCATCCTTTATGTCCGTTACCACTTTGTCTTTCGCTGCCTTTGCGCTGTCAGCTACATCTCTGGTTGTAGTTTCTATTTTCTCTCCAGTGTGTTTCACGCCATCTTCCAATTTTTCACCAACAGCTTTACCCGCATCTGACACTTTCTGCAAGCCATCGAAGATTTTTGATCCAGCCTTATCTTTCATGTCCTTGACGGATGATGCAATCTTATCTTTTCTATCCTTTACGTCTGCAACTGCTTTGTCCTTTCCTGTGAACACATCTTCCAGCTTCCTTTCCATTTCTTCGTGTGCAAGAGCTTTCTCCTCAGAGGCTTCCCTCTTTGCTTCATCGAGGAAATTCTTAACGTCCGTAACGTCAGTTGAAATATCCTCCGTCGAATGTTTAGCTCCTTTGAATAGTCCAGAAAGGAAACCACTGCCTTTCTCTTTAGCCTTTTTCGCTTCTTTCGCAGCCTTGTCTTTCGCTGCTGCTGCACTGTCCATAACTGTATCTATTCCAGATGATACCTTTCGTTTTGCAGCTTCGGTGTCCTCTTTAATCTCCTGTGTCAGTCTATCTTTTGTTGTTTTTACGCCAGTAGCTACGCCGTGCATAGTTTCCCCAGCTTTGTCCTCAGCTTTCCTTACAGTATCCGTTACCTTTTCCCCTACAGCCTTACCAGCATCTGACACCTTCTGAGTACCTTCGCTCACTTTCTCGCTAACCTTGTCCCTTGTATCTTTGACAGTCGTTGTAATTTTATCTTTAACATCCGAGACATCAGCGGTTGCTTTATTCTTTGCCGCTCTCAAAGTATCAGTTGCATCTTTTGTAGTCGAGTCTATCTTTTGTTCAGCCCGTTTTACTCCGTCTACCACCTTTTCACCAACAGCCTTGTCAACATCGGATACTCTTTGTGCACCGTCGGCTACTTTCTCGCTGGTTTTGTCTTTCGTGTCTTTAATGGCCACAGCCGCTTTGTCCTTCGCGTCTTTCACATCCGCGACTGCTTTGTCTTTCACCGCATCGACGTCTTTCAACTTCTGCGCCATTGCGTCGCGTGCTCGAGTTTCTTCCTTGGCAGCTTCCTTCTTTGTCTCGTCAACGAAGTCTTTGACATCGTCGGAAACTTCATCAGCCGCGTGTTTGGCACTCTTGAAGAATCCCGAGAGGAAACCACCTGCCTTTTCCTTCACCTTTTTCGCTTCCTTGCTAGCCTTATCCTTCGTGGTAGCTGCGCCATCTACAACTGTGTCTATACCCGAAGAAACCTTTTGCTTTACAGCGTCAGCATCTTCCTTGATTTCTTTTGCTACTTTATCCTTCGCTGTCTTCGCACTGTCAGCTACCCCGTGCGCGGTTGCTTCCATTTTCGCTTCAGCGTCTTTCACTCCCTTCGCCATTTTGTCACCAACTGCTTTGCCGGTATCGGTTACCATCTGCGCACCTTCGGCTACCTTTTCGCTGACTTTATCCTTGGTATCTTTCGCAGTGGTGGCGACTTTGCCTGCTGCATCCTTCAAATCTGCAGCTGCTTTGTCTTTCGCCTCCTTAGCGCCATCTACTATTCCGCGAGCAGCAGTTTCCGTCTTTTCCTCGGCTCGTTTTACTCCGTCAGCCACTTTCTCGCCAGCAGCTTTGCCAGCATCAGATACCTTTTGAGTAACATCGGATACCTTCGCGAAGACTGTATCCTTTGCATCCTTCGCAGCAGTTGCAACTTTATCTTTCGTGTCCTTCATTTCTACAGCCGCCTTATCTTTTGCAGCTTCCACATCCTTCAACTTAGCATCTGCTGTGTCTTGCAGACGGGTTTTCTCCTCTGACGCTTCCCTTTTCGTTTCATCTAGGAAGTCCTTGACATCGTCTGAAACTTCATCTGCTGTGTGCTTCGCACCTTTGAAAAGTCCTGATAGAAAACCACCAGTCTTCTCTTTAGCCTTTTTAGCCTCCTTTGCTGCTTTATCCTTTGCTGCAGCTGCGCTGTCTACTACCGTGTCTATTCCAGATGTTACCTTGTGTTTCACTGCTTCGGTATCTTCTTTGATCTCCTTAGCCACTTTATCTTTGGCTGCTTTGGTGCTATCAGCTACTTCGTGAGCAGCTGCTCCTGCTTTGTCTTTAATTTTATCCACGCTATCTGTAACTTTCTCTCCAATCGCTTTACCAGTGTCTGATACCTTCTGGGCTCCCTCGGAGACGGTTTCGCTGACTTTGTCTTTGGTGTCTTTGACAGCAGTTGCAGCTTTGTCTTTAACGTCTTTCACATCCGCTGCTACCTTGTCCTTAGCTGCCTTCGCACCGTCAACTACTCGTTCAGCAGTAGCATCCGCGGTTTTACCAATTACTTTGACTCCATCCACTACTTTCTCACCTACAGCTTTACCGGTGTCTTGTACCTTCTGAACAGTGTCAGATGCTTTCTCGCCGATTTTATCCTTGGTATCTATGATAACACCTGTAACTTTATCTTTCTTATCTTTTAGATCAGCAGCTGCTTTGTCTTTTGCTGCTTCGACATCTTTCAACTTAGCATCCGCTGCGTCTTGCAGGCGAGCTTTCTCCTCTGACGCTTCCCTTTTCGTCTCATGAAGGAAGTCCTTAACATCGTCTGAAACTTCATCTGCTGTGTGCTTCGCACCCTTGAACAGTCCTGAGAGAAAACCACCAGCCTTCTCTTTAGCCTTTTTAGCCTCTTTTGCTGCTTTATCCTTTGCTGCGCTTGTGCCATCTACAACTGCGTCTATTCCTGATGAAATCTTCCGCTTCGCGGCATCAGCATCGTCTTGAATTTCCTTAGCTACTTTGTCCTTTGCTGCTTTCGTGCTATCAGCCACTTCGTGAGCAGCTGCTCCTGCTTTGTCTTTAATTTTATCTACACCATCTGTAACTCTCTCTCCGATCGCTTTACCAGTGTCTGATACCTTCTGTGCTCCCTCGGACACGGTTTCGCTGACTTTGTCTTTGGTGTCTTTGACAGCAGTTGCAGCTTTGTCTTTGACGTCTTTCGCATCTGCTGCTACCTTGTCCTTAGCTGCTGTTACTTTATCCTTGGCTGCCTTCGCACCGTCGACTACTCGTTCAGCAGTAGCATCCGCGGTTTTCCCAATTACTTTGACTCCATCCACTACTTTCTCACCTACAGCTTTACCGGTGTCTTGTACCTTCTGAACAGTATCAGATGCTTTCTCGCCGATTTTATCCTTGGTATCTATGATAACGCCTGTAACTTTATCTTTCTTATCTTTTAAATCAGCAGCTGCTTTGTCTTTTGCTGCGTCAATGTCCTTTAACTTTCCTGCGGCTGCTTCGCGAGCTCGTGCTTCCTCCTCGGCTGCTTCCTTCTTAGTTTCATCGAGAAACTCCTTGACATCTCCTGAAACTTCATCCGCAGTGTGCTTCGCACCCTTGAACAAGCCAGAAAGGAAACCACCAGTCTTTTCCTTAGCCTTTTTAGCTTCTTTTGCTGCCTTATCTTTCGCTGCAGCTGCGCTATCTACTACCGTGTCTATTCCAGATGTTACCTTGTGTTTCACTGCTTCGGTGTCTTCTTTGATCTCCTTAGCTGCCTTATCTTTGGCTGCTTTGGCACCATCAGCCACCCCTCGTGCAGCTGCCTCGGCTCTCGCTTCGGCATCCTTTGCTCCTTCAACGATTTTGTCGCTAACAGCCTTACCTGTGTCTTTCACTTTCTGGGCACCGTCTGTTACCTTCTCACTGACTTTGTCTTTTGTGTCTTTCGCGGCTACTACGATTGTATCTTTAGCATCTTTCGCCTTTGCAACTGCTTTGTCCTTCGCTGCTGCTACACCCTCAGCTACACCATACACCGTGGCTTCTGTTCTTCCTTCGATACGCTTGGCTTTATCAGCTGCTTTCTCACCGACTGCTTTACCAGCGTCTGATACCTTCTGTGCAGCTTCGGATACCTTCTCACCTACCGTATCCTTGGCATCTTTCACGGTGGTTGTTATCCTGTCTTTCGCATCCTTGGCTTCCGTAACAACTTTGTCCTTAGCTGCATCGATGTCCTTCAACTTTCCCGCTGCTGCTTCGCGTGCACGAGCTTCCTCTTCCGCAGCCTCCTTCTTTGTATCGTCGACGAAGTCCTTGACTTCTTCGGAAACTTCATCTGCCGCGTGCTTTGCGCTTCTGAAGAATCCTGAAAGGAAACCACCAGTCTTCTCCTTGGCTTTCTTAGCTTCCTTGGCAGTCTTATCTTTTGCAGCTGCTGCGCCATCTACCACTGCATCGATTCCGGATGATATCTTTTGTTTCGCTATTTCAGTGTCCTCCTTCACCTCCTTGGCTACCTTGTCTTTCGTTGCTTTCGCGCCATCAGCCACGCTTCGTGAAGCTGACTCGGCTTTAGCCTCGATATCCTTCACTCCTTCCACTACCTTGCCAGTAACTGCTTTACCCGTGTCTGATACCTTCTGTGCACCTTCAGATACCTTCTCGCTAACTTTGTCTTTCGTGTCTTTTGCACCCGCAACAACTGCATCCTTAGCATCCTTCGCTTTTGCAGCTGTTTTATCCTTCGCAGCTTTCATGCCATCAGCTACGTCATGAACCGTAGTGTCCACCTTCTCTCCAACATGCTTTGCTCCATCGACTACTTTCTCACCAACTGCTTTGCCAGTATCTGATACCTTCTGCGCAACTCCAGATATTTTTCCAGTGATCGTATCTTTAGTGTCCTTAGCAGTGAGTGCTATTTTATCCTTACCGTCTTTCACTTCTGAAGCTACCTTGTCTTTAGCTGCATCTATGTCCTTCAATTTCCCTTCGACTGCTTCCTGTGCACGATCCTTTCCTTCAGAGACTTCTCTCTTTGTTTCATCAAGAGTGTCTTTAACGTCATCGGTAACGTCATCTGCTGCATGTTTTACACCTTTGAATAGTCCAGATAGGAAGCCACCGGTCTTCTCTTTAGCCTTCTTAGCTTCTTTTGCAGCTTTATCCTTTGCCGCCTCTGCATCGTCTACAACTGCGTCTATTCCTGAGGATATCCTCTTCTTCGCATCATCGATGTCTTGAGTGACCTCTATTGTCACTTTGTCCTTCGCTTGTTTGACATCGTCAACTTTATCTGGTACATCCAATGTCACATTTGCAATGTTCCTCGTATCTTCCAGGAATTTCGCGGTTGCTTCACGGAGTGTACTATCTGGGCTTACTATTGCCTCCTGCGGTGGTGTGCTCTTCTCACGAGATCTGCTTCGTGACGATCTGATTAATTTCGGACTTCGGAATTTAGTGAAGATCCCACTTCCCTTCTCTTTGTCCACGGATTCCGTGGGTGCATCGGGAATCATATCGGGCATAATTTTCTCAGCAATTTGTTTTGATCCTTCACGGTGCATAGCGTCTGCGACCTTTTTCGTGTCTTCCAGGAAATTGGCTGTTAACTGTCGCGTTTCTTCGTCTCCACTGTCAAAAGATGTTTCCTTCGAGGAGCTCTTCTCCCTGGATGAACTTCTCTTCTTACTTTTCAGTTTTGGACTCTTAAACATGCTAAAGAAACCACCACTCCTATCTTTGCCTTCTTCGTCTTGTTCTTTCTCGCTCTCTGCTCGTTTCTCTGGAGAATCTGCCTTTATGTCAGCGTGTCTTTCTATGCTTCGTTCTTTCTGGTCTTTGTGCTTCTTGGGCTCCGGTTTCCCGTTCATTTCCTTGTGTGGAGTACTCCTATCCAACTCCAATTTCTTTTGCATCTCTGAAATGTCGTAGGAATGCCCGTTTATTTTGTCTCTGGGTGTATCTTCATCGTAGAGAACCGGTGACGTGAACGTGTACAAGTCTTGTTTACCGTCGACTTTGGGAACAGGAGCTATAATCGTGGAGTCGGCTATTTTTCTGGTATCATCTAAGAATTTCTCCGTAGTGATCCGAAGCTCTTCATCGCCGCTATCGAACGACGCTTCCTTGCCTTTCTTCAACTTCTTATCTTTCGATTTTGGACTCTTGAATATACCAAAGAAACCACTACCCTTCTCCTTCTCTTGATCGCTAGAATCACTCGCCATAGTTGCAGTGCGATCATCTGGTTCCTTAGTTGCTACTTTTGCCTCGTCTTTCTCCTCGATTCGAATTGAAGTCACGGTGCTATCAGGTACATGGACATCAGAAGCAACTCGTCTGGATTCATCTAAAAATTGCATTGTAACTAACTTAACGTCAAACCCGGTGGTAGGCTCAGTAGGTTTCAAAGATACGTGTGACTCTTGTATGACAGGAGCCGGCTGTTGCGTTTGATGTTCCGTAGGTGCAGGTACTTTTACTTCTTCGTCTCCACTATCAAACGACGTATCCTTCGATCCTTTCGATTTGCTCTTTTTAAGCTTGGATCCCTTAAAAATGCCTGAAAGTATACCTCCACTTTTATCCTTCGACTTCTTCGATTCGTCCTCTTGCTTTTCGTCCGGCTGTGCAGGTGGGTACTGTACGCTGTAAACGCTCTCGTAAGCAGATACTTGCTTATCAACTGCAGGTTTCGTTTCTTTTGGAATGTTGTCTTTCGCAACAGTCTCTTTCGGTGACTGTTGCCTCTGTTCGTCTCGCAGAGCTTCTTTAGCTTTCTCTGGCACCTTCGTACTCGGTTTCGTCACACCTATACTAGGAGTTGTTAATTTCTCGTCAATTTCCTTACCTTCTTTAGACGACATTTCCTTCTTGCTCACGATACTTTGTCTACCATTGGAGATCGTCACCGTATCCGTGGGTACCGTTTGGTCAATTTCTTTCACTGTGACAGTGTGCTTAATCACAGGTTGCTCACCTGCTTTGCTGTCGGTCACTGAAACTATAGTTTTCGATGCAACGATCGTAACGTTAGAATCTCCCTTCCCATCGCGAACGAAACGTTGCTTAATTATAGTCGGCTCGACGACTGGCGCTTGATCGATAATGATCTTACTGGGCTTAACGCCCTTATCCTTAGGTTCTTTGTCAATGAATTGATCCCTAACAAAACTTTGAACTACAGCACCTCTTGCCTCTTTATTGTCCCGCGCATCATCATCATCACAAACCACCGACCACCCTTCCTTCGCTAACTTCCCCTTCTCTTTCTCTGCGTCTGCTATTACACCTGTTAATTAAGTATTACATATTTTAGGCATCTGTAAACGTTGCAAAATAGAAAGAACACATTTTTGTTTTTATTTATTTTTTTTTTTTTTTTTTTTTTTTTTTTTTTTTTTTTTTTTTTTTTTAATGTCATTTCGCCATCATTAGTGTAAGCCGGCTCGCTCGATATTGCTCTTTGAGAACAGCGGTTAGACTCTCGTGTGGTTTTTGTGCGTGGTATGTGTGTGCTATGGAGCAGCCATCCTTCTGTCGGACAATTACACTTGTATTTTAAAAAGAAAGAAAAATACTAATTCACTATACAGAGCAGTAACTGATTGAGGTACTACAAAAAGTGGTCAAGCAGTATTGAGAGAGTGCAAATTTGGTAGGCGAATGTACGTCAACATGGTAAAAATGATGATAACAACTAATTTTAACGCTACAGTACTTTACTCCCTTATCGCTATTTGTAATGATAGATTGTAGTGAAACAGAGAGCTATTAGAGGAGAAACATATCCTTGGGAGGTTTACAAAGCCAATTTTTTATCAGGCAATTTAAATTTCTATCATGTGAAAAATCTTTTAACTTTTCATTAAAAAATTTGGAAAATCAACTAGGGTATAGTACATGAAATGGAGTCAGAAAATCTAAGTAGATAAGAATAATGATATATTTAATATTGATTTATATTCTTCATATATTATTTTATTTGTGTATGTGTATAATATTTAATTCAGGGAAAATTTAAAATTGAGAAAATTTATAAATGAATAATTGAGAAACTGTTCAATGAAGATTTGTAGGAAATATGCTTAGAAGATCTCACACAAAATAATAATCAAATACTGATATCATCATAAAAAGATTTTTGATACTTTCTACTTTGAAATTGTTGAGTGACGATAAGGTCTATCTACATGGTACAGGTATCATATATTACAAATGGATTAATAAAAACCACACTCACTTATGAAATACAAATTAAAATTTTGCAAAATGTAGGAAAAGACTTGTAGTAAAAAAAAAACTATTATCTATGAGGAAATATGAAGCATATGGGGGTACCAATTATGTTCCAGAAAGTAATTAAACTAAGGTCTGAACTTTAAAGTCATTTTTCCAAAAATACATGTTTCAAAGACTAATGTCACAATAATTTTGTTGATTTTCAATAGTTTCTCAATAGCTGACAGGATTATTTTTGATATGCCACATCATTATTATAATTTTTTAATTTTTTACGTTTATATGTACTAAAAAGATAGAACACTTTACCTATAAAGTCATCACTTGATTTATGAAGCATACAAAATTTATAAATTTGGCTTGATATACTATTAATCAAAATTTGGTAGAAGTCGTTATTATTCAAACTGACATAACTGTATGAATGTAATCATTTAAATAGTATAGCTATGTTCACACTGTAAGTGTGGAAGAAATTAATTGACTTGCTATACTTGAAGTAACTTCTTTCCTCAATCACAAAGGTATGTCGCTCTTTAAACAGAAGTGGTTCATTGCGTTTATATTTTTGGAATAACAACAGTTTAAACAGTTTTGATAATGTAAATGAATATGTTTTGTCTTTTATAGATTATGAGGCACAGTAAGTGTATATGACAACGACAGCTGCTCCGTGCGTCCGCACAGTTAGGCCACACAAATTTGGCCACTCATGCAACGCCAAAAAATTGCAGCAAAACCTTGCTGAAACAAATTAATGGGAAGTGTCGAAGAAATAGAAGGCTATTAGTGGGTCATTAAATGAAGACACTGAGAGTTCGCATTATAATACAGTAGATATGAGATGTAATTGAGAGGCAATAAAATAAATAGATCATTATGTAATTAAAATAAAAGCAAGCTGATAAATTTGAAGGAATCCGCATCAGCCCTCCAGAACCTGTGAGTGAAAGTAAAAGATGATAAAGTAAAAGATGACCAAGTAAAAGAAGTAAATGTTCTAGTGCCGACAATATTTCATAGAGCTAACTTTCACACTTGTGAATCGTGTCCAGAGTCAATGCCGTGCTATAATTCTAATAATCACCTAGTCTTTAATACCAAAAAAATATATTTAGTGAATATCATTATAATCTACAATGTTTTAAAAAAAAATCAAAGTATTGAAACAGATAGTTGCTAGATAATTTTTGTAGAACATCATGAGTATCATTATTTCCAAAACAATAATTGCTGGTTAGAATTAGTATTTAAATTATTGTTTAGAAAATAATAAACGATGATTTAAATTGATTACTGTAATACGTGGTACACTGTGAAAATCATAGTAAGACCAAAAACAGTCTAACATTTTTGTAGAAAAAGTATGACAGAATGAATTTTTTTTCTTTGCATTTAAATCAATTGTTTAAATTAGGAGATTATTTAAATGATTTTTTCACATTAAATCATAAAATACATGTAACGTTAAAACATTAAAAATAATATGAGGTATAATATTAGTTTTTATAATTTTATCTATTGTATCTACAATTGTAATTTTGTCTTTGTCTGTAACAAAAAGTAAAGTGTAACTTTCATAAAATATGTACTTAAAAGTTACATATTTTAGATAAAAAATAAAATAGCCGAAATTATTTTATTTTCAATTATTTTTAATTATTAATTATTCTAATTTATTTTTCATCTTATATTTATACCATTCTTGGTTATATAATGATTTTCATTCTGTTTGTTATATGATTAGAATAAAATAAATTAATTTGATCAAGCAAAATAATCACTATGGATTAAATTAGAATTCTCACAATAACTAACACACATTTGCAAATACTAAAAGACACATATAATTATTAGTATTTTAATGTTTAATTATTTTAGTTAATAATAAATTAAAACTTATATTATATCTTTCTGAAGTTCATTAGTTTAATTTATTAATAACTATAATACTCATCTAATGAAATACTAATAATCAAAGCATTATAATTTTTCTATTTATATTTCTATAAAATACATGTTTCATGAACAATAGAATATACATTTAAATAATACATGAAAGTATGTTAACAGAAAAGAATATTGTTGTATTTATTTGCACATCGAAATAGACTATAGCTACGAACACGATGTCACTAAAAAGCGAAGTCTTGAGTACAAAACTATTTAGCACTAGCGACTGAAATTTCATCAATAAATGGTTAATATAAGTTGTTGTTTTATAACCAAGCGTGATATTATCGCGTTAAGTTAATCATGCTGCTGCGTATTTCCTTTTTATTTTTAAAAGAAATGTTATCATAAATGATGATTTTCGGAAAATTGCGCATTGAATGCTTTTTATTTTCTTCAGCTAATCGAAGCACGGCCCCTCAACCCACCATTTTTCAAAAAATTCTCAAATCACTTACCAGAAACTATTTTGTTGGCATCTGCGATCACCCTCTGTCGTTTTTTATCTTTGTCATCAAGTTCATCGCGTAACTTTTTGCTCATCGTATCGGCAACGTGACATTTGTGCTCAAGAAAATCGGCCATTACATCCCCTAGTTCTTTTTCCTCGCTTGCGTATTTATCTTTGATGGGGGTCGAGGTTCCATTGAATACAGTGCCATTTGTGATTGTGACATGCTGTTTCGCTGTTGAGTGCAAAAGAGAGGTGGTTTAAATAGTGTGGAAGATTCAGCTGATGTTTCTTTATTAAAGCGTCGAAGCAACATATAGAAGAAAATTAATAAATCACTATATATAAATTAATATATAAATTGATTTTCAAGTTTGTGAGTCATCCTCAGGAAAATAAATGATATCTGTTCCTGATATAAAATATCGCTGAACTGTTTCAAACGAAATGTATGAATGTGCAACTGTAGCAAATATTATACTATATAAACAGATATATCATATGTACAGCGGCATTATTAATCTGTTTTCTAAGAAGCATAAGGCAAAACTTATGATTCCACAAAGTTTTCTTAGCAATGACACAAAGTGGAGCCGGCGTGTTATTCACAGAAATAATGTAAGCAGTGACGACATATCCTTTCTAGTGTGGTAATAGGAACCGCATTAAACGTCATTTTGTTCGAAGAATACTTTTTATATCATATTAGAAAGAGTTCAAATTAAAAGCTATAGTAATTTAGAGGATATAATAAGGTTTTAGAATACATACATGTGTCTCGTTTAGTGCCACTGATATTGAGGTCTTCCAAAGATTCAGACTCCTGGAAAAAGAATAGATTTTTTAATAAGAAAATGTTTATAAACAAAATATTAGTAGATATAATTTTAAATATGATTAATGACAAATATAAGTTGTTTCGCGATAATATACGTCTTTTCCAAAAATACAAACCTTGCTTTTGTTGTAGTCATCGTAATCAGGATTCATCTTTGGATCCATCGTCGCGTCGCGACGAAGAGAAGTGTCCCTTGAAGGACCCAATTCTTCTTTCAAAGAATCAAATCCAGGTTGATCTAATCGAACTCTCGCAACAGCTTTCTCTACGTCATCAGTAACCAATTCGACGTTGAATATACATTTTTTCACAATATCCTCGCGGCCAATTTTGTTCAATGCTTTTTCTAAAGTATTTCCTAAACATACAAATGTCATATTTAGATAAAGCAACAAATAACAGTATATTTGAATATACAGCAATCTTAATATTATTTTCTTTCAATTAATTGAGAATATAAATTTTTACAAATATTTTAATTATTTTTTTTCATTATTTGAAAATATATTTTTTTTAATAATAATAAACAGTATATATTAATAATTTGAAATATAATTCAAATAAAGTAATTATATAAATTTAAATGTTTGTATTTTATAGCTATTGTTTTGTTTTCTTATTCACTCCATGTTCATAAATAGAAAAATAAAAATAGTTATAGCCGTCGATATGAGCAATTTGTTATTGAAAATTATCAGAGTTAAATGATAATAAATTATCTTCGAATTGATAAAATATTTGTGTTAAGATCGTCATACGTAACGGGCGTAAAATAACGCTGACGTAACAACACTTTTAAATATTTATGCTACCTATGTAGTCAGCTACTTAATGAATTCTTTTCTCTTGCTACAGGTGTGATATAGAAATTTTTTACTGCTCATAGTTTCTTTTAGCTTCCTTGCTTAAAAATATCTTCACATTAATAATTAATAACTTCATATTAATAGCTTCTTAGAAGTATCTTTTCAATTTCAGAAACTAAAGAAAATTTATTTACAATCACATCACTCTGTAAATGTGCCAAGGACAGATTTTTCATTAACACAAATTATCCTTGAATTATCCGTGAATGATACGGACCTGAGCTCATTGAAATCTGACATCTCTGACAAGATGACTTCCTAAATAATAGTGACAATTCACTGATGTATGTCTTAGTCGTTTCATTTTCATATTCTTGATATAAAGATATAAACATTTTTGCGTTTATGCCTTCGCAAGCATAGAATATAAAAGACAAGACAATTATAAAAATTAATAAGATATTATAGGAAGAAGAAAGCTGGAGAACACTTGATACACAATCACTTTCACTGTATTCTTGTTGAGGTAGCACGTACTTCTGTTTGTTTTAACCGATTGCAGAACTGAAACGATGTGCTACGTGCATTTCTGCTGTATATCAGTGTCATTAGTACTGGTAAAAAAAGAGGGGGAAAGGAGTCCATAGGTTTATGTCAGGCATAATAATGCAGGATGAGATCACCAACTACGTTACTCCTCAGATTCCACGCGTCTTAGTCAAACGCGCCTGTCTGATTAATTGACCTTGCAAAGAAACAGGTTCTTTTAAATTTTTCTTATCTGTTACTACATCTAATTTCTTATCTATAAACAGGACATTTCAATGAATTAGCAAAAAAATCAAGAAGAAATTCATTATACAAATTCGATTATACATTATTGCATTGATATGTAAAGAAATTCGTGATAAAATTATTTATAACTAATGATCAATATAAGGAATAAGAAATCTTAAATTACATACAGTATACAGGAACATGGAGTTGCTTGTAATTAATATGCAATATTTACAATAGGAAGAATTAATATAACGTAATTAAAATTGATAACATAATCAAAAAGTTATACATATATAGTTTACTGTGCCTAAAAAAAGAGAGTAAATGGTAAAATTACTGTATCTCCAAGAACTGAATCGCGCACTGCAAGTATATTTATAAAGATGAAATAATGTGTACTGACAACTGTGCGTATCTCAACACCAATAATAGTCGCACTATTATCGTTTGTTTAATTAAACTTGTCAAATAATGACTAAAAATAAAAGTGAATTTATACGTTGAACTATGAATCTAATCGTATATTTAAATTACATATTTGTTTTACAAATATTCAGATAGCCAATGTGTATTTAGATATCGAAATGAATTTATTGCTAGTTTCAATGTTTACCAGTGATAGTATTCAATATAAAGAGGTGATCGCCCTATTAATATGCACTCCTAAGTAAATATTTTTATAATTAATACCAATTTGTAATGATTACTTGCTTCAAATATCGACGAAAACAAATTTATATGATAAAATTTTCGATCTCAAAGTAATTATAGAAACTGACTACACGGTATTATTAAATCTTACGTCGATATTACACGCAAAAAAAGAAAGGAAATATCAGATAATCTTGCCGAGGAATCAGATTTAATATGCTCAAACGAATTTTAAATATTCATATGATATTCAAGGATAAAATCCATTTAAAATATCTGCTTAATACGCGAGAGCTTAATACGCGAGAGTACAACAGTTACAAAACTTACCGGTAGCTTTATTTCCATTGCTCTGCCAAACTTTAAGCATCGCTGCAGCTTGTTGAGCTGGTTTGTTAGCATATTCTTGTTTAATCGTCGACACCTCGTTCGGAGGAATATTTAATTCCTCGGCCAATTTTTCCCAGTCTTTGTCCAACAAATTTGCAATATCAGTCAACCGAATAGTTGCTCTGTGAATAGTGTCTGGGCGACCTAGAGGCATAATTAACATTTACAATTCTCGTACACTCGTGTGTCTCTCGCAATCACTGTAAGAATTTACATACTTATACCACCGTCACGTAGAAAACTATAATTTTTCGAGAGCTCTAATAAATCCACTTCTGAGACAGCAGATTCCGGAGAAATTTTCTCTGGTAATAAAATATTTAACGTGCATATCGGCGTCTGAGGCAATTCGCCCTTAGGAACCTTTGGTTCGCTCATAAACATTATTCGACCCATCATATCAGCAGCATCTGGATCCTTTATTCTCGCCGTGAACGGAACCCTGTTCTCTTTGAAGGCTCTAAACGGCAATTGAAGCTGCTCGCCGCTCTTCAAAACTGGCACAAGGTTACCCGAAAATTCCATATACTGCGTTTTACCTTCCAGCACCTATGGGAAACGATTACACACGATGTAGCACTCGTAACAATACGGTAATTATAACGAATGATTCACGTAATTCTATGTATTTACCTCGACGTCCCGGCTCTTCGCCACTTCCGTAAAGTGCTCTTGATTTTCCAGGGTCTTATCTTCTTTATCGTCGGTCATACAAAATACGCGTAGCCTTGCTTCCAGTGGATCTACTCGCTTTGCAAATACTACAAATCTGCAGACGAAACAATTACAGATAACATCCATTGATTAACTAATATTGTAATCATGCAGGTAAAACGTAATCGATTGATGTATTATAAAATAGAATTTGCATTGATCAAAATTATTTCTCTCTCTCTATCTCTCTCTCTATTCTTAACAATTATCTTTCTAAAAACTTGACATTCGCAAAAATATATGCAAAACAGAAATGATATTTCTATAAAATCGCCACTAGGCAAAAATGCTAGGCAAGCCAAGTGCTCTTTCCTTATACTCATCTTACCGGTACAGAAAAGCGAAATTTTCAAAGGATATCGATCCGATTTTTAGAAGAAATGTTCTACCTGCGATTACGGTACGTTATTTGTCTTTTGAACGGTGAATTATAGATATTTTAAAAACGTACTTAGCCATAAAAGGTACATGTGTCGCGTGTGTGTATAGCTCCGTAGCCATTTTCGTGGCTTCGGATATATTCCGACAATCCATTAACCAGAAGCGAGCAGACACTGTGGTTGTAAAGGAAACACAATCTTTCACGAACGTCAATGGCGTTGAACCGGTGACATCCTCCCAGACTGCCCGAGACTGACCCCCTGAACGACATACATACCAAATCCAATAACATTATTAAAATATGTCCGTGCTGCGAATGGAGAATCGGCAGAAGTGAAATGTGTGGGATATTAAATCCGTTTGCGACCGAGATTAATTACAATTTTGATGCTTTTAGCCCGGAATATTCGCGTGTACCCTTTGATTGTCGAGCATTCTGTACGCTATATCTTCTACGTTGCCTAATCTTGTAACGTAATAAAGTATAATTAAAGATGTAACTATTAAAGAAACCTTTGAAACGAAATTGAAAATTTGCGAAAGCCGTCACAGAGGAAAAATTGTTCATAAAAACAATCGAAGGGTTTAAAAAGTTACATCTAAATTGTAATACATTGGAATGTAAAAAGTATTCCTGTTTCCTGTATTAATATCCATTTAGTATTATAATTAGTACAAGTGATGACCTTCAGTAGCTCGCATAAATTTGATTATCATTTCATTAATACCGGGCTTAAAGTATCAATAAATATGGAGACATATTAATATTGACGCGTAATCGAATGTTTAATTAATTATTGGAGGATATTATATGAAAAAAGAAAGATATATTCAAAACGACGTTACGTAACAAATATGTATCAATAACTGTTCTTTTATAAGATAGGGTGAATTGTAGAAATTGAAAAATATCGAAATAAAGTGATTCATTTTTTAGAGATAGAGATAAGTTTACATATTTAAATAATCAATGGCCTTGTGTGACAGCTTGAAGAAAGAAAAAGAATTAAAATAAAATAGTTAACGTAGTGGTTTCCTTTTTCGTCATTCGACAGAATCAGTAAAATTTGTATTTAATATCGGTCACCATAAGTGCGTTGATGTACGTGCTGTATCGTGTGTGTGGGTAATGTTAAACCAAATACACGCTGACCGAATGATAATGCTTGCCAAATGAAAATAAAGCGTCATACATTGAAAACCGCGCAGAAAGCAAACGCGGATCGTGTGGACTTGCGTACAATAATAAGTAAGCGACAAAAGAAAACAGAAAGGTGTGAAATAATCCTAATAAAAACGCGACGTAATGCATGTCGGAAACATATCTTCCTGTTCTTTTGTCGTATTAAACATATTAAATATTTTCATAACGTTCGACGATTTAACGTTACTCAACTAAACAAAAACGAGAATTTTGTCGAAAATTCGTAACAGGAAAAAACCAGACTCGTACTTTATACTCGGAAAAAGTTTGGTTATGTAAGTCGTAAATAAAATAAGTACAGCGTTGCTGTAACAAATGGTAAGATTAAAAAGACAACATTGTCAGTCTTTGTATCGGTAACGTGTCGTATGATACATATCATGATCTAAAAGTACATATATTTCGGGAACACAATTTTATAGAAGTTATAAATTACAAGCCTAATATCGAAGCGGTTACCAGTCAAACGAATGTGCTGAAACAAAAACTTTGAAGTTAACGCTTACAATGAGCTAGGTAGTAAAATTTTATCTACGTTAATTAATAATCCATACCTAAATGACTCAATCCTAACAATATGCAAGCATTAACAATGAATCACAACAAGATATGTATACAACAATGGTACTCAACGAAATGTTTCTATGAAACATGCAGCTACCATCTCCCTTTTAAATCTCTATCCGAAGGTCTCCGGGACATATTAATTCACTGTATTTAAATTACTTTCCTAGATAACAACCTCCTAAATAGTAAATCAAATACTGCAAACCTACTTATTACATTACATACCTACGGGATCGGTAATAGTATAATTATTCTAACGAGATACAAAGATATTCTTAGCGCAGTCCCGATGACCTGAGAACAGACGAAGATGCCTACCGCCTGCGCCATGCCTACTAAACTACAAATTGATCTTCGAATGCGTAAGAAGTCTGATAAGAGCATATATACACCAAAGGTGTTGCGGCGTAACAGTTTCAGCACTTATCGGTAAGAGATTTTCCAGTAAGACGGTACGCTGCTCTACAATATTACGTGCAAGCATATATTACCAGTTATGCTGCACAGAAGTCTCAGCGTTGGCGCATCTCCTGAATATTGATTGATCATGCCTTTGTTGGCTGCTTGCGGTACGGGTATGGTTAAGGTTATCGGTTTGTGGAATTTTCTTCGTCTTGGCTCAACGGTTACGATTGGTGATACCGCCACTCTGTTACCAAGCAGTTTAGCTACGAGATCTGCTGGTATTGGATGTGCCTAAAACAATAAGAACATTTTCTTTTTAACTCGATTATAAATTATATTATTGATTGTATCTGGTATTATTAGTTACCAGTTTATGTTACTACATATTGCTCTACATATTCTTTTCTTCATATCAAATCATACCAAATAGTAACTTGACCCTGACACCAAGTAAAGCAAATTGAAACGTTAATCAAATACGTCATTAGAATTGCTGATATTATGAATATATAATCTTCAAATATTTAATATCAATATTTAATCCCTGTTGGGAATTTTAATCTTCTCATAACAATGGTATGTAGCACAAAGGAAATAAGTACCTGCAGTCCAACTCTGATTTTTTTAGTAAGAGCTGCAGGTGGGAAAACAGCCTGAACTTGTGGTACAGCCGATGACGAAACTGTACCACCCTCTGGACCAACTGCATGAACCTCTTGCCTGATGCGAGACACTACTGCGAAGTAATGTGGGAAGTCTGCAGTAAGTATCCTTACGATCCGGGAAGTTTGGAGATCCTCGAGCTGGCTTAATTCTGTAAAAATATGTACATATATGTTGTTAGATAACGTGATCTATATACATAAATAATTTGAAGTGAAGATAAGTAATTTAAAGAATTTCAATCATTTCTGTGAATTTAACTATTACTACTGAAAAAGATTGTGAAATACTGATAATTCATATAATATTGAAAATTCTGATGGACAAAATTATATATCAAACATTAATATTGGTTATATATTTTACTATTTACATTTAAGACATTTCCTATGTAAAGAAAAATACATAATATTAATTCCACTATCTCTCAATGTTATTTCTTTGTTACTTAAAATTGTATTATCTAGTATGTAACTAACTATATCTACTAATGAGAAAATAATGTCAAGATATGCTTTCCACCTTTACCTTCTATTACTTTTAACTTTAAAGTACTTTACTTCAGAATAACAATATTGTTCCATTAAAAATTTCAATTACTAATAATAATCTACCATATAAGATAAAAAGATAATAAAAGATTAAATATAACTAATTAAGAAATATTACCTTCAGTCAGAAAATAGTAAATATGAGAACATTATTTGTTGCAATTTATTTTGATGTCAAAGGAAAACAAATTTTTAATGAACAATAAGTAAAGCTAAAGTGTAGAAATGGAACATGAAGAAATAGTCATACCTTCTCCTTCAAAGCTCTCGTTAAGCACATCTTGGACAGCCTCCTCGCTGGCTTCCAAGGTGTGTTCGCGCCAAGTTTCTCCATTATCCGATCGAAGTATTACTATTTCTCGTTCTTTTCCTCGCAACGAAGCAAAATGTGGTACTTCTATGATGACGGGTCTATTTGAACAAATGGTTGTTATTATTGTTGCAAAATTGCATAATACATTTTTCCAGACAAAATTATTTTATATATAAATAAAATACATCTATAGTTTTCATATTATTTACGTAAAAAATATATATTATTTATAGTAATCTAAAGATCTATATGAAAATTCTATATCAAATTAATGAAAATCATTAATTATTATTAATTTAAATACCTTGAAACTTACATTAAGTTGAATTAAATTCATTCTTTTAAAGATAATATAAGCATAAGTATAATCATCCTGTAATTGCAACAATTCAGCTACTTGAGATGAAATTTCTCAAGATATGAAAACCACATTTGCATAATAAGAGCTCTTTGAGCGAACACAATAACACGCGAATTTGGGTCAGCAAAGATTATCTCAAATCTCTTTGATACATGCCAATGTTATATTTTACGATGAATCAGACAATAATTTATAGAATGTGGATCGACCTAATGATTTTGAAAAGATTGAAAGTGAGGTTGCAGAGAATTATATACGAATCAATTTATCTCTTGACAAGAGGAAAAATATATAACTTCAACCAACAAAGACGATATTTGCACCAAGCAAAAAATTATTGCTATCATATCTACTTAGCTTTGAACTTATGTACATACTAAAGCCATAGTTCAGTTTAGAAGTTTGATTTTTCTATTTATATTATAAAATAAGTGTAAAGTATCAAGGTAAGGCATGTAAAATTAACATATTATGCACTTCATAATTACTTAAGTAAAAACTTTAAATGCATTTTGCATTCTAATTAAACATATTTCCAACTGACAGTAAAGAAGTTATTTTTTATGAGTCAAAAATTATTTTCAATCAAGTACTTAGACCAAAATATCCTTTTAACATTAGAACTATCGACCTTCTATGTGTATAGTATACATATATAGTATAAATATAGTATACATAGAGTATAATAATGAGACCAGCACGATAAAAATAAATAGGTCTATACAATTACACTTTTATCTCAATAAAAGTCAATGTTATTTTTATCAAAAGCAGCTGCTTTCAGTAACAGAAAACACAAAAGGTCTGCAACCGGTCGTTTCAACTTGTTTACCAGTTCCAGTGTTAAAAGATTTCTTTACAGACAATAGAGGCTGATTCAACTTCATTTGTAACAAAGTCCTTCCAGTTGTAGTCTGCTTCCTGTTAATCCAACTTACTGAAATACTTCATGGTCATGCATAGTATGTCATTCTTCTACGCAATTGTAACTATTTCCAATATCAAATTGAAAACTCAAATTTGTAAACTAAAACTGGATAAAAATTTTGTTCTTTCATATACTATTAAATAAATATAATACTTTGAAATACAGAGTGAACCATAAATTTTTATATTTAGAGCTCATTTTCTTCTCGTAAATTAGGAAAGAGAACATGCGAGGCGCCACCATGAGTACCTTGATTCTCCGAAATTTGTTGCAGTTTCAACACATCCTTCTGCTATTAATTTTAATAAACAGTTAATAAAATAATACACAGCTTTATTTTAACTTTGTTCAGAAGAATAAAATAAATAGTTCACTCTGTATATTGGAACGTACCCTAAGAATTTGGCACCCACAGGTCCTAGCTCAAGGATACGACTGGCAAGAGCTTCTCCTTCCATCAAAGGCGGTGGGTTCGTCAATTTGTCTCTTCTCAAATATCTGCACGTGACGCGCATAGGCATCGCAGCTTTCCTTGGAGGGACGATCACACGTACACCGCTATGCCTGCAGCCACGCATCGCACCACCTCGTGCATCCACCAGAAAGGAAACCAGGAAGCTGTCATTTACATAATGAAGAGTAATTAGAGAGAAAATCCTGAGCTGAAAAGAGGAATATACATATCGCCTCAGCCCAGGCGCTGCGATATGTCGAGAGAAAGAGAGAAAGACTTGAAAATAAGAGCAAGATCATTGCATAGGGGCTAATTATTTGGACACGTACTCATAAATGATTATTCAACACTATTACATACGAATATTGTGCGAACACTTGGTCCTTTGGAAAATAATACGATCATGCTAATTGCTTCACTTAAGATAAACCAATTATAATTAAAAAAAAAAAAAAAAGAAATATTTTTACTAATATGTATACATGGTATTTACACTAAACTGGGTGTCTTAAAAATTTGTAAGGTCTTTCTGGTATATATTTGAAATTTTACGTACGAAAATTAAAAACAACGTTTATCTACCGTATATTTGTAGAAATTTGAACGAAATGGAATTTCTGTTTCGTAAGTTTTCAAAGAATCGATAGATATTCGGTAATCATTTTTCTTCCAATTACTTATAGTAAAAATATTTTAGAAAGCCAATTAAAACAGACGACTGAGTTATCACATAAGTATCAAAAGCACGCCAAGCCGAAAAGCAACGTTCACGATCAAGTTTTACTAAAAGCGTAAAGTTAAATAGTAGAGAAATTATTCTTGAACGTGTCAGTTCATTCTGAAGGCGGTTTTTATGTACGCGACGGTGTTAAATGTTTCGATCTGTTCCATAAAATGTTACAAAAATTATATGCTTTGAGCATGAATTATTGCTGCGTATGAGGGTAACTGTAAAAAAAAAAACTGAAATTAATTATCAGACAATAATGTGCAAAGATAAGTTACATGAGAAATGGAGCAAATTAAATTTTAAATTGAGTAACTATAATTGAAGAGGTACGGCTTGTGAGCTTGTGTCGGGGAGTTGCTGCATGAAAATTCTATGTCTGCAAGCGTAACACTAATTAAACATTGAACACTATTTAGAGTAAGAAAAAAAAGAAAAAAAAGAAAAAGAATCGTCAAAATTGGCTGAATTCAAATTCGAAGATCCATACGATCGCTTCCTATTGCTGATTGATATCTGTGCTGGAGGGAAACTGAGTTCCGTTATGAACCTGAGAATTATTCACAGAGATGTTGCATACAATGTGTGCACAGTGAATATAAACGCTATCAGAACGATTCGATATATCATTTGCATTAATTACCACACTGGACCGTAAAAATATTCATGCAGGTAATAAAACGCCTCCACAAAGAACATTCTTTTTCTCCAAGTACATTGAATAGTCTAAAAATATCGGTCATACATAAATTCCACGAAGGTTGCTCAAGTGAGATGATGTAATAGTACTCCTTAATGTGCACCATGTTTTTGGAATATATTATAGCTTACGGCTATGACCAACAAGCATCTTCGATAAATATTAAGTAGTGTGTATTTGCGTAGAGTTCGCAGGAAACGACTGCAGCGCTACATATCATTAAAATTTATTTAATGAGTTGTTCATAGAATTAAGTTACTCGTGTATCGTGTTATTTAAATTTGGAAAATGTTTGTTCACGTATATTCATTGTGCACCACGAATGATTGCTAAGAATACTAATAAACTTCAGCGACTACGGGCATTGTGCGATTATAAAGGAAAATGTATTGGTACGGCAAGTACCAGAAGCTAAATTCAAGAGAAGATCACTTACTTTCTCCACTGTGGAATTCTGCGAGTAGCGCAAATAAAATAACAGAGAGGATCGGGAACAAAATAAAAAACGCGTTAGTATCCATTCGTTCATAATAATGGTGATGAGAGATGACGACATAGATGGAGTCGAGATTCTGATCTAGCGCGACTTGACAGATTTTCGAACGATATCTAATGCTTGTCAGCGCGCATGCGCGACTTCGTACTCTCGTACGTATTCGGAGTGTCTCCGTGCTACGACGATGATTGTTTCTCGTTTGACTTTCGAAAACTCGCAATCATCACACGCAAGCCACTTTTCTATTGTACAAAACTACGAGAATAGGGAGTAACAATAATAATTATGTATTATAGTGGAAACGCAACGAGGCCACATCATTCACACTCTGCGAAATAAAGATATAGGTTAGGGTAGCAACGTAAAATAGATTGTTTCGAAATCTGTATTATTTACTCCGCGATTTAAACAAATGACGCTTCGCTCATTTGTCGTATGGGGTGTATGAACATCTGTTTATGTTATTCTCCGAATTAACTGTAATGTGTAATTAACAGATTTTGAAACATATGCGAAAAATAGCTCAAACTTGTCATAAAGGGAGAGGGGGAAACAATAATACGAGCAGCAGCCACTATGATGAAAGAGTTCAAAATGACTAAACTATTATTGAACTACAGGACGAACGATTCTCTATATCTACAAGAGCACTTTTTACTTTTATCACGATATTCCATGTTTATTAGATAAGTAAATACTATTTCTTTGTTTAATTATTTTTTAATCTATCTTATAAATACTTTCTAACTGTGTTTTTCGTTCTATTATGTCAATTGTGTTATCGGAGCTTACGTCGATTTCACTGGATTCATTGTACACGATGACCTTGGATTTTCTCGCCAAATAGTGTCGGCACGTTTTGAAAATAAAAGCAAGATAAACGTTGTATAAACGTAGCCTCGTAAATGGTTTGTTGAGAACTTCTTAAAAAAAATATGATATAACAACTGACTGGATTTTTCTTCACTTTTGAGTTTTATGTTTATGCAATATTTTTTTTCAGTTTATAAAACATGTTGATACAGTTTGGCGGGAAAACCTGGAACACTTTATACAATATTTAATATTTCATATTTATTTAATATTTAATATTTAATTATTTAATTAAGATTTAATATTGAATAATTAAATATTTAATATTAAATGATACTTAACATATTCTCGTGCATCTCCTTAAGATATTACTAACTGAATAATATTATTACTGATATTCTTAGTTACATGTTGTATCTCAATTTAATATATAAAAATAAACACAATTATATATTTTCGAATGCAGAATTATAAAATTTACATATATTTCTCAAAATAACAATTTATTTTGCTTCAGAAGATCACAAGCCAGTTCAAATCAAAATGACATTTGAACATAGTATATAATCTACGTACCAAGAAATTAAAAAAGAACACTTGTATTTTAATAGCAATGTGTTCTTTTTTCGCCTTATACACGAAAACGCCGAAACACAGAAAAGGAAAGTAATAAAAAGGGCATGGTGTACCTGTCCCTCCACATTCCTTGTCCTTTCGACATGGTACCAAGAGCTGCCAGCGATGTGTTTAAGGACTCTAGGGACGCTCTGATCTCAGAACAAAATCTGGTATGATTATGGATAAAACCTTCGTTTCATGCGCATGCTTACTGTTTTCTTTCTTTTTTTTTTTGCCGTGCATTATGCACTTTCCTCCTCTGTTTGTTTTAGGAAATCTGTGCACTTGGAAAAACCATTCTACAGTTTCAAAAACAAGTGCGTGCAAACACATGTGCTCTTGTATATGGTTAAGGTATAAGGAAAACATTCTAAAGATCACACTGAAAGTCTACTTGTAAGAAGTTAACTCGTAATGGACAAAACGTCATTTGTCCAACATAATAAGTGCCCTACTAAGCGCAAAGAAAGAATCCATTGTGCGTGCTAGACACAGCACCATCACTGTTTAAAAATTTCTTCTTCTCTTATCATCTTTTCATATTTTGCATTAAACAGTAGTTTTATTTAAATGATTTGTAAAAAAGTATTCAAATAGTATAGTTTATTATTACATATTTCAATGTATTGTAATAGAGTAGCTTATGAAGACATTAATGTATCTGAAAGCATTTATGTAACATCTAGAATCATCATGTACTTAGGATCATAATATTTAGAATGATACACTTAAAACATATGATTTGTTTTCTTTGCGCTTAGCGGACTATTACAATAGGTATCTGTCTGGTTCTCAATTGAGATCTGGGGTTACAACAGTCTTCCCAGTATTAGTAAGAAACATGGTGTCCAATTAGATTGCTTACACCGTCAAAGAATCGTTCATCCCAAAGATATTTCAAGAACAACATGCTTATTACTAGATAATCTAGTGTTGCTACGAGCAAGACAGGATGTAAACGGGGGCACCAAGCGGTTGACTCTTGTTTAGCTGGTTGGCTGATTACATAAACGTTAAACTGAACATTTGGAATAGAATTAAAAGAAAGTAGATAAAAAATAGCTTGCTGTGAAAGGTATGATGTGTAACAGAAGACTGATTAGAGCTCAGTTACTGGTTTGATTCTCGTTGGCTCCATTTGAAATGTTCCATGACATAGTCCTACTAGTGACAGTTACGCTGTTATGTTTTCATTATGCGCGCGATTATGTAAGAATGAATGATGTCAATTATTACGTATGTCCCATAATAACTGTTCTATCTTCTACATAAGGAAGTCATTGTCACACAGTATATTTAATACGAGATGACTTCATAGAAATTCAATTTTTTTTTTTTCTTTTTCATAACGAGTTTAATTTTTCATGATCTTTTCAGGCCTTTTTTATTTTCATTACTTATTTATTCGATTGAGTCAGTGTATCAGAAATCAATTTTATCGTGCATCGTCGAATAAAATATCTTTCTTACGCGTTATAATTAAAATTCATTTTTGTTACAACATACGTGAAGCCAACTGAAAATGAATTTAAACATATTTTCAGCCAATAGAAAATTCAAGCTCACTTTGTGCAGCTTAAATGTAAATTCCAACAATCCTGTATCACATTTCTTTGTTATTTAACAGCCAATAATATATAGGGTTAATTAGAGCAGGAGTCTTTCACCAATGCACACCGTGTCACACTATAATACACAATATTATTGTTTTCATGAACTCTGTTATTACTTCCGTTTTCTTTTATGTACGCTACCGCTCGCGTACCATTTGCATCTACGTTGTATATACAATCTCTAACCGTATGAAAGTTACAACAAACGTTATTCGACGCGTGTATGCATAAATATAAGTTCCGACAACTTTTTCCAATTTATTACAACAAACACTAATTATAACCTTTTGAAAGAATTTTTTCCAATATCGTTGTTCTTGCCCAATGGATAACTACGTTATGTTCAATGAAGAATATACTTCAACAACGAAACTTTTGTGTAATCAGAGCAATCTGTGCTATAAATCCAGTTATACGTAACAACGAGCTATTATTTTTTAGTAACACAATCTAGATGTTTAATTCACATATTATATTGAATTTCGACTACAGCTTGAAGTTCATGTTAATCTAAACACTTCTGATATCTTATTTATACATTGAACCATTATTAAGTATTAAGACAAACCATGCAAATATAGAGTTTCTCGTAATCTTTTATCACGGTAATTTAGTTAGTAGAAATCTGATTAAACATCCTTTTTCCAATTCGTCGTGCATAGATGTATACTTTTTGCAAATTACTGATGCAAACAATTTTTCAGATCAATAGACAGTGATGCAAATTTCCAATTTCAAAAACTCTCTTAAGCAAGAAATCTCGATAGCCGATGAGAATTTGGAAAACTTTGCTGATTATTCAGTGAATTCTGCAGATTAGAACCAGATGAAATATATTCTAATATGCTGCAGATAAGATTTACAGATTTGCCTTTATTCCATAATAAAGATAACAGGAATGAAAATATTTGAAATATTTTTGCAAATACTTTGATGGGGTAAGTTGTATAATATTTATCAAATTTCACTACGTTACTAGAATATGTGTATCAAGATATTTTGTAAAAAAAAATGTACAATTATATATACCATGGTATAAATGTAAATGTACAAATTTTGTTAAGCATTTTATGTTACAGAAGTGTTGCTGAGAGAAGTATTATACAATCATGAATCAGTAATACAACCTACCCTAAAGTGTGGAATTGTTTGGCTAGCGTTAGATGAGTAGTGTTTATAGGGTAATAGAGAATGAATAAATTAATACATACCCGACGTGAACAGGGTGCCTATTAATATCAACATTGTCTGGTTTCAGATTGGCAGCGTTTGTACGTTGATAATTTTCTTTTGTGATCATCTCGGTTATCGTCGGTGCTATAAATCAAATTTATTATTAAACATTTAACGTTCCTCTTCTCGAGCTAAAATATCTTCCAAATTTAATCGGCGAACAAGCGTGTGGGTGCATTTTATAATCCTTCCATGAAAAGGCTCGAACAAAAATTACTTTGGGTCAGATACTAGCTACTATATTATATCTTCCTATCTACTTATCTTAAGCAGATTATTATAATTTCATTATATTTCCACGATTACTTTACTTGTAACAAGAAAATAATCAGAAATAAGGGGTGTTTCTTGATAAAATATTAACATCTTTATGCAAGTATTGAAAAATTGATTACTCTCAAAAATGAACGAAAATTGGATGTTGTACCAATTATAAAAATTCGAAAGAAACAAATAATGTAAAATAATGTAAAAATAACAGGATTTAGACAGAACTTTTACCTGTTTAAATATAAAAAAAAATACTATACTTTTGAAAAAACAGAGGAAGTTGATACGTTGTATTAAATTTCTTTATGATCAGACTACGTAAAAAATTTAATACTTCGGAAAATCATTTATAAATATAGAATGAATAATAAATTTGTTATTCGCATAATTAAAAAAATAAAAAATGTAAATGGTATGAAAATGTTATCATATTTTATGCTTCTTTAAAAACACAGTGATACATATTAAAGTTTTACGTAAGGACGTATAAAATGCACATTATGACGTAGAAATAAGGTGTGCCCGTTTGCAGATTAAAAAAAAGTTGTTAAGAAACAGATAAGTAAATTTGAATATTAATGTGTAATAAAATTCTGAAACTAAATTATTAACACATTGACATGTATCTCTCAACTAATATCTTTTTCACACAAAGTGCTAAAAAACTTATGTACTGTTCTAATCACTTTAAAATATTTATATTTTATGTATTTATACTCATATTGCAAAATTTATACTATTCTTCAAATCCAATCATCACACAATCATAATGTCAATAATATTCAAAATTATTTGTCCTGAATTATATTTTTATTTACTAAATTAAAAATAAGAAATGTTAGAAATTACAACAGATTGCATAAAATGAATAGATAATTGATCTAACATATGTTAAGATAAACCCGGAAATGTTAAGTGCACCGCCCTCTACAGTTTAAGGGCAATAACAACGCACTGATGCAAATGACCAACACTTCAAGCACCTTTTGTAAAGCAAGACTCATTAATTTATGACCCTCCATCATCCCGAATGACCTTTCATTATACCTCGTTGAACTCTACAATCGCTACCGCGCTAAGGATAAAAAATACAGCAGTCCACTTAAAAGAAATTAACTTGGCCTTGAAATCTCTTCCGTGTTTCTAAGAAATTAAAATCGATTCCCGACATTAGATCTCTCACTAGTAATAATTTGCACTATCGTTTTAACCACTTCAATGATATCTATACATATAACAATACTAATAAACATAAAATATTAACTGATAAAATATCCCCATAAATAAAAATATCATTGTTAATAAAAAATAATTATAAAATTCTTAGTTACAAAATCGAATTCTGATTTATCAGATCTTAACACTATTTTATACTATTTTGTACTATTTATGGAGAATTGTGTGATACAGATTTTACTAGAAAGGTAATCGTTTTATTATACTTTAATATTATCATAAATGCATAAACTTTTTTTGTTACTATTTTGTATAAATTTGTATAAATATTCAATGTCAAATATAATTCCAAATTCCAATAAGCAAATCTACTCCATTATCATTGAAATGTATTCATAAGTAATTTGTCGAAAACATTCCGTAATTTAAATTACTAGATTAATTACTGCATAAATTAAACGACAGAGTAAACAACATGCAATACGAATTTTGCATAATACTTACCTCCGGAA